TATAGAGAATGTTTAAGTTATAAGTTAAGAATAGTCTGATAAGACTACAAACCGGATGTGAGTAACGTAGCACTTCCGGTTTTCGAGAAATCACGTGATTTCTATTTCAAACGAAACCACACAAAATCTCCGAAGTTCTCAATTAATTAAATACATTTTTTTTTTTGGTGAACATTTGGTTCACTGGTTTGCTAATTATACTTTAATTCACAAATGTTTGCTGTCTGTAGGGTTTGGTACCAGACAGACATAGGTACATAATTATTTTATCTTATAAAAGCTTTTATCCAAAACAACCTAAATTATGAATATCTAACGATTATAGTATAAATTCAGCTTACATAAATCTATCTATAAATAGACGTTTTAGAAAAAATATGTCCGTGAATAAGCCGCTGATAATTACTTAATTACAATCATATTTCGCTAAAATATAAAATACCGCAGAAACTACACGTAACATTAAGCAATTACATTGCATTGATTTATCGATATCTCTTCCACTTAATACTCGTACCGATAATTATGTAATTGAAATGTAATATTTTGTAACTTAATATTTGTAACTTTATTTTTGGGGTTTTAAACTTTAAATTCATGCGGGCTATTTAAACTTTACGGGTCTATATATAGGTCATTTCGCCAAGTTAATCTATGGTTAAACTTTTTAATACAAAAGTAGGCTATAACTATCACAAAAAACGGCTTTATAGTACCGTGGGTAGCGCGCCCCGATCGGGGCGTGCGGTCTTTATTGAGAAGACATATAAATGCGACTTTGTGTTCCTTGTCCAGCCCCAACGTGTTTGCTTATCTCTGCGAACTGTCAATATACAAATCAAAAGGTTTCAGGGATAAACTTTTGCGATAAAAACATTACCAATCAATATTTTCCAAATTCAGTCTTCCACAATGGTTTTACACTTGAAAGCAAATAAATTCGGGTCTCATAAAGAACCTTGCAGACTAAGAATGCTAGCTTAATGAAATAAATTGTGTTTAATAGACAATTAAATACTCCTTATATGTAGATATTAAAACTTCTTAGTTATTATAAAGTTATGTCATAAAAAAAAACAAATTTGAAAAAGGGAGACTTTCGAAGATGCAACTACGAAATTACTGCATTTATTTTTGCTTTATTTTCTAATCTGTCATTTATCATTCATATAAACCATGTCAATAGTGTTCAATATTAATTATTCAAGCTGCAATCATGTCTCTTACACCTGAAGATTGCACCAGAATTCTCATAATGCTGAAAACCGGCCGGAGTCAGCGCGATTCAGCCAGGACTGTCGGTGTGTCGTTGTCAACAGTACAAAGAGTTAAAGAGAAATAAAGTAATGTCGCAGTTTTAATAAATGGTGAATTAACCCAATTTATTTATTTATGGACCATCAACAGAGCTATATTAATACATACAGACTAACACATATGCTTAAGTATTAGGATATCATATAACTGTAATTATAGATGGCCTCATCATGCGCTAAACAGTAAACAGTTCTTTTTTTACATTTCCTACATACGGAATTTATTACACAACAAAAATATTTGCCCAATCACAGAATAATCCTCTGAATCCAAAACCACAACAGTCTATCATGCTCTATAATTATTGAAAAGGGGAGAATTTGCCGGAGTAAATTACGTACGTGCATTGCGAACTTGATCCCTAAATATTTTGGTGTATATCTTTAGTGCTATATACTATACTCTTACTACTAATAAAATTATAAAGTTAAAGAATTTGTTTGTTTGGTTGAAGACGCTAATCTCAGGAACTGCGGGTCCGATTTCATTAATTATATTTGTGTTGCATAGTTGATATACCGAGAAAGGCTATATGTCATATAACATAATAAAAAGGAACCGAGAACCAATGAAGATATTGCAAAAACGGGAAGAAATATTCCATTTCTGAGCTTCTGTTGTGAACGCAGCGTAAACGGTAAATGTTATTCAATCATTACGTATGGCAGAATTGTTCCCCTGTAAAAATTCCTTTTCTTTAAAAGTGCGTGATTGCATATGTCTATATTTTAAGGATAACCCTTTTTACTCAAATTTATGCAGGTGAAACCACCACAGATAGTAATCACACTAATAATATAAAGGCGAAAGTTTGTGAGTGTGTATGTTTGTTACTTCTTCAAGTCTAAACGGCTGGAGCAATTTTTATAAAATTTGGTATGGAGTTAGCTGACACCCTGGATTAACACATAGGCTAAGTTTTACTGCGGGAAAATATCCCTAATAAAGGTAACACCGCGGGGCACAACTAGTAACATAAAATTTACTTCTTATTGGACGACCTCCGTGGCCGAGTGGTTTGTACGCCGGGTCTCATGGTGTCGGCGACTCGAGAGGTCCCGGGTTCGAATCTCGGTGGGGGCAGATGTTAGTGTGATGAATACGAGCATTTGTACTCCAGTGGATGTTTAATATCTATTTCTATATAAATATACTTATACTAGCTGACCCAGCGAACTACGTACCGCCCTAAAAAAATAGGGGTTGTCCAGCGGACAAAATTGTGAATCTAAACCATTCTCAGATCCCCTTGAACACACACAAAAAATTTCATCAAAATCGGTCCAGTCGTTTAAGAGAAGTTCAGTGACATACACACTCACAGAAGAATTATATATATAAAAATATGTACAGTTTATGTATTCTATCCGTTACCCTAGCATCCCATAACACAAGCCTTATAGTGCTTACTTTGGGGCTAGGCTAATTGGTGTGAGTGTTGGAAATATTTATATTTATTTATTCTTATTACAAAGCTCGGGAAGTCGAGATCAGATAAGGAAAATGTCAGCAGTAACATCGTAGGGATCACAGAGGAGGTTCACCTCAACAGCACGTAAACATTGCATCTGCAACGCTTTCTACAAACAGCCTCGGCCCGGCCTTGGCTGCCTTTCGGCACTCACAAATAAACTTTATAATTTGTAATTATTGTGATTATTCCACCGCTCGTGTGTGTGCGAGACGAGGCGGTAACTTGCTTATGTAATAATATAAATCTGGTTTAGTAGAACGTTCGCTCCGCGCTCACTTGCTGATACGAACTTATCTTAAAGTTTTTATCAAATTCTGACTGCTTGATCACATTATTTCTAGGATTTGTGCAACAGTAGATTTTTTTGCGAGACCCTTTATTGTAACTATATATCTATATCCTAAATAATGTAATGGAAGGTGACTTGAAAAGTATGTCTGAAGTCATTTTTCAACTTGACGACTCTGTATATATCAATACAGGGAGAAAAAAGCAGCCCTTGCTGAGTTTCTTGCCGGTTCTTCTCAGTACAATGTCTCCCGCCGTAGTTTTGCGAATAGATGGCGTAGCTTCTTGACCTTCACAAGTGCTTGTAACAGCCTAGACTGAATAAATGACTTTTCATTTCATTTCATTTCATTTGAGTATAACGCAAGGCAAGATTCTCTGCCGAACCTCGTACTGAATGTAACGGTATTCCAATTGCAAAATTGCATAAAAATTCACATATCTCGTGCTCTACACGACTTGAAAGGACATTGAAAATGAATCTACCTATTTATAGATCACAGTAATATTATAAAGGCGAAAGTTTGTGAGTGTGTGAGTATGTGAGTGTGTATGTTTGTTACTTCTTCACGTCTAAACGGCTGGAGCGATTTTAATAAAATTTGGTATGGAGTTAGCTGACACCCTAGATTCACACATAGGCTACTTTTATTCCGAAAAATGTTAGGTTCCAGAGGGATTTTTAAGAATTTAAGTACGTCCTCGTCGCAGCACGCGAGCCGCCCGCCGCGTGATATCGCAACTCCTTCCGCGCAAAACTCGCGGCAAAGGGTACCTCTACAGCCTCAACCGTCACCAATATCGAAAAAAACTGTAATGACATTAAAAGTTCCTTGGTTCGATACCGAGATGCTATTTTTCTATATTTTTTAAATTCGGCCCCGTTCTCGAGGTATCGGAAATTTTCTATGAAAACACACGATTTTTCGGTCGCAAAAAGTCGTTTTTTCTTTCGCTTTCCGAAAAAGGTTTTGACTTTTCCAAAATAATTTTAGATCTTCTTAAAGCTCTTCAAATTCCGCGTCTTTAGAACACTCATTCGTCCTCATGGCCCTAAACTACGGGGTATCATGGGCCAGTCGCACATTCAGCGAAAATGGAGGCTTACTGGAGCGAACTAAAATACATTTTCAATGTTCATGATTGTCGGGAAAAGCTGCGCACGCTTCCAATAAACACACACACATATATATAATTATAAAAAGTCGTGTGACGCCCATGACGCACCTCCATTTCATCTTTTCCATAGGAGATTTCACTTCAAAAATCCCTGACATAAATCTGTAGGTACAAAATCTACAGTCCCCTAGATTCTTAAAAAAAAAATACATGTGGCACTCGGGGACTGCCGCGGTTAAGCTATTGCATAGCATTATTTATCAACTTATGCAATTATTATTATTTATTTATTTTATTAATGCAGTATTTTTTTATTCTTTGATATTAATGCAAGTTTTTTCTTCGATTTAATAGATGGCGAGGCAGGCCTTATGATATTTTATTGGCCAAAAATCTTCCACAAGCTCCACAGAATAAGAACAGGTGCTGGGGTCTAAAACAAATATATAAAAAAGGGAAAAAAAATATAATAAAAAATTAAAAAATACGTGCAAAAAATTAACACACTGCACCGTTTCGATCGTTATTGGAGTAACGAAAATTGTTTTCATATGCACTGTTGTCAAGTTATTTGCGTTACGGAATTTCTGAATTCGGTCGCCGCGCCCAAAGCCCGCGATAAAATCTATGCATTAGCTTAATAATTAAAATTACGAATATGGTTTTTTTTTTATTTCCTCACGCCACACAACACTCTCTTGAACACATCTTTCGATTCCTTTACATTCAAACATCTCTTTTCATGAACATTTGCCGTTTTTTTTTTCTATGTTTGAAAAATATTTTTTGTGTCTATTAACAGAGAGCGGTGGGTCGCAGATCTTCAACGAGTGGCGTTCTGACGTGTCAATGTCCGGACTAGGCCCACCATTCGACACTGCCTTCTACACTGTGCGCGTGTCCGTCACCAGTAATCTACAGGAGATCGTCAAGACTGTAAGACTTAATCATTTTTAACCAGTATACCACAAGAAATTTAACCTAGATAAGTTGGGCTTATTTGTTGTTGTTTAGTTTGTGCTTCGGAAGGCACGTTAAGCCGTTGGTCCCGGCTGCATTTGCAGTCGTTAGCACCCACCAATTCGCACTGGGCCCGCAAGGTGGGTCATGGCCCAATCTCCCTATTCCATCCATAGGGAAGGCCTGTGCCCCAGCAGTGGGGACATTAATAGGCTGATGATGATGATGATGAAGTTGGGCATAATAGTACATTTCTCGCACACAAGCAAATTCCAAAAAGAACTGTAGACAAAAAAAACAACACTATTGACGGAAGTATTTTACTGTCAGTGAGAAGTGAGAAAGGCAATACGTCAGTGCAACTAAACGTCTCGATGGCGCGGGTGGAAAGCGCGTTCGGCTGCGATCGTTGAAGTTAAGCAACTTTCGCAGCGGTCGGTCATTGGATGGGTGACCAAAAACCTTCTATCTCGAGTTCCTCCGTACAGAAGGCACGTTCAGCCGTTGGTCCCGACTGCATCTGCAGTCATTAGCACCCGCCAATCCGCACTGGACCCGCGTGGTAGGTGATGGCCCATCTCCCTATCCCATCCATAGGGACGGCCTGTGCCCCAGCAGTGGGGACATTAATAGGCTGATGATGATGAGAACTAAACGTATGTAGCTGCGGTGGTCACTTATCATCTAGTGGTCCAAATGTACCTTTGGGGGCGCCAAAGGAACTTATGGACTGGTTTCTGCAATAACAGAATACAGAAATACAAATAATATGAACAAAAACACTGTATTGTTACAGAGACGCACGCTTCACCTCGGACTCTGCCTGCCTTACAGCTGCTCGCGGGAAAGCGTGGGCGCCCTAGTAGGCGCAGCGCACGCGCCTCTGCTGCGACAGGCCGTAGTAGCAGTGCGCTCTCCACAACATGGGGGCTACTCCTACCTACACGACCCCACCTTCCTAGTGCTGCTGTGAGTTACATTTGTTATTGAAAAGCGTAGGAGCAGTGATAGGCGCCTCCTCTGCTGTAGGCTGTGGTGGCAAAGTGCTCACCACAACACGGGGGCTATTCTTACCTGCCCGACCTCACTTTCCTAGTGCTGCTATGCGTTACATTTCATATTTAGAGGCATGGCCGCACTATTAGGCGCCTCTGCTGCGGCAAGCCGTAGTAGCAGTACGATTGCCACGACGTGGGGGCTACTCCTATCTGCACGACCCCACCTTCCTAGTGCTGCTGTGAGTTACATTTGTTATTGGAAAGCTTGGGAGCACTAATAGGCGCCTCTGCTGCGGCAGGATGTGGTGGCAATGTGCTAACCACAACACGGGGGCTACTCCTACCTGCACGACCCAACCTTCCTAGTGCTGCTGTGAGTTACATTTGTTATTGAAAAGCGTAGGAGCAGTAATAGGCGCCTCCTCTGCGGCAGGCTGTGGTGGCAAAGCGCTCACCACAACACAGGGGCTACTCCTACCTGCACGACCCCACCTTCCTAGTGCTGCTGTGAGTTACATTTGTCATTGAAAAGCGTGGGGGCACTAATAGGCGCCTCTACTGCGGCAGGCTGTGGTGGCAATGCGCTCGCCACAACACCGGGGCTACTCCTACCTACACGACCCCACCTTCCTAGTGCTGCTATGCATTACATTTGATATTGAGGGGCGTGGGCGCACTATTAGGCGCCTCTGCTGCGGCAGGCTGTGGTGGCAATGTGTTCGCCACAACACGGGGGCTACTCCTACCTGCACGACCCAACCTTCCTAGTGCTGCTGTGAGTTACATTTGTTATTGAAAAGCGTAGGAGCATTAATAGGCGCCTCCTCTGCGGCAGGCTGTGATGGCAAAGCGCTCACCACAACACGGGGGCTATTCCTATCTACACGACCCCACCTTCCTAGTGCTGCTGTGAGTTATATTTGTCATTGAAAAGCGTAGGAGCAGTGATAGGCGCCTCCTCTGCGGTAGGCTGTGGTGGCAAAGCGCTCTCCACAACATGGGGGCTACTCCTACCTGCACGACCCCACTTTCCTAGTGCTGCTACGCGTTACATTTGATATTGAGAGGCATGGGCGCACTATTAGGCGCCTCTGCTGCGACAGGCCGTAGTAGCAGTGCGCTCGCCACAACACGGGGGCTACTCCTACCTGCACGACCCCACCTTCCTAGTGCTGCTGTGAGTTACATTAGTTATTGGAAAGCGTGGGAGCACTAATAGGCGCCTCTGTTGCGGCAGGCTGTGGTGGCAATGTGCTCGCGACAACACGGGGGCTATTCCTACCTGCCCGACCTCACTTTCCTAGTGCTGCTATGCGTTACATTTGATATTGAGGGGCGTGGGCGCACTATTAGGCGCCTCTGCTGCGGCAGGCTGTGGTGGCAAAGCGCTCACCACAACACGGGGGCTGTTCTTACCTGCCCGACCTCACTTTCCTAGTGCTGCTATGCGTTACATTTGATATTGAGGGGCGTGGGCGCACTATTAGGCGCCTCTGCTGCGGCAGGCTGTGGTGGCAAAACGCTCACCACAACACGGGGCCTATTCTTACCTGCCCGACCTCACTTTCCTAGTGCTGCTATGCGTTACATTTGATATTTAGAGGCATGGCCGCACTATTAGGCGCCGTAAGCCGTAGTAGCAGTGCCATTTCCACGACATGAGGGCTACTCCTATCTGCACGACCCCACCTTCCTAGTGCTGCTGTGAGTTACATTTGTCATTGAAAAGCGTGGGGGCACTAATAGGCGCCTCTGCTGCGGCAGGCTGTGGTGGCAATGTGCTCGCCATAACACGGGGGCTACTCCTACTTGCACGATCCCACCTTCCTAGTAGGCACTAGTAGGCACTTCTGCTGTGCCAGGCCGTAGTATCAGTGCCTCGCCCCAACGCGGAGGCTGCTACTACCTATACGAGACAAGCATGGGCGCACTAATAGGCGCCTCCGATGCTCCAGGTCATAGTAGCAGTGCGCTCACCACAACACGGCGGATTATTCTACCTGCACGACCTCACCTTCCTAGTGCTGCTGTGAGGTACATTTGTTATTGAGAAGCATCGGCGTACTCATAGGCGCTTCTGCTGCGGCAGGCCGTAGTAACAGTGCAATTGCCACGACATGGGGGCTACTCTTATCTGCACGACCCCACCTTCCTAGTGCTGCTGTGAGTTACATTTGTTATTGAAAAGCTTGGGAGCACTAATAGGCGCCTCTGCTGCGGCAGTCCGTAGTAGCAGTGCGCTCGCCACAACACAGCGGATACCCCTACTTCCACGACCTTACGGTTCTAGCGCTGCTGTGAGTTATATTTTTTATTGAGAAGCGTGGGCGCAACCTTTCTCATGCTGCTGTGTGATTTATATTTGTTACTAGTGGCCCGCCCTCGCTTCGCTTCGGTGTAGAGCTGTAGTGTAAACTATAGTTTTTGTTCTCAGGCTTGTGCTATAAAGAATGACTTTATTTATATAATTACACGTGTTATTGTGAGTCAACCATAAAAGATAGACATATGCTGTTGCGGGATATTTTTTAGACAATTTTATGTATAATATTTCCGTCATACATGATTTCTATGTAACTTTAACCATTAAGGCTGCACCCGCGATGGAAACTTAAAAAATGGTGTAGCTTCTCCCGTTTTCCCAACATTTCCCTTCACTACTCTTCTGCTATTGATTGTAGCGTGATGAAAAGTATACTATAACCTGCCCAGGAGTATGAAGAATAATTGTACCAAGTTTCGTTAAAATCCGTTGAGTAGTTTTTGTTTCTATAAGGAACATACACACAGACAGACAGACAGACAAAAAATTTACTGATTGCATTTTTGGCATCAGTATCGATCACTAATCACCCCCTGATAGTTATTTTAAAAATATATTTCATGTACAGAATTGACATCTCTACAGATTTATTATTATAAGTATAGATTAGGAAAATACTGAGTAAAATTAAAAGAGGTATGATGTTGCTGTTTACACTCAATAATTCGATTATCAAGATTAAATTATCAAACGATCGTTAGTTGCTTTATTATTAGTGAAATTATGTATGTACGGGCAAACCCGTACAATTCTATATGTTTAAGTATTTTGCTAACGTCGGCGCTGCGCGCAACTCTTCATTCCTTTTATTAAGTGAATTGAACAGTGGCAATAAATTACTCGTACCAACAACATCGTTTTATCATTTGACATAACAACATTTATGGGACAGTTTTTCGGAACCTATCATAACAGTATCAAGCAACTAAAGGTGTCCCAGACATCTTTATGGTGGTTATCACAAGTTTGGTAATAGCATACAATAAATGAAATATTATTTTGTTACCTATAAAGCTATGAATACAGCAAATAATTTCAATTAGTAATTTTAAACTTACGAGTTAGCTTTACCTACTGTTGAAACGATTAGAAAAAATGAGTTGTTTGTTACTTGTAAGTCTGTAGTATACTATTTAAAATTTCAAAATAAATAAATTAACGGTTAAAAATTTAATAGCAATCATAATTATTTATTGCAAAATTGTAATGTGTCGTGTCCGTTTGTGTCGTATAAATTATGGCTGTGTTGTTATTTAGTTGTATATAATTGGTGGCGACGGCTAACCGTTGCGGCAGACGGCTGTCGCAAAACATACTTTAGAAATGAGCAGCGGAAATATTTAGTGTTACAAAACCCGAAATGTATTTTGTAACACTTATATACCCAGAAACATACCATCATTAATGCGCAGAATTCCCAATAGCAGCTCCATTCAGGCGCGGTCGCAGCCTGAAATTTTGGAGGGGGTCACTCACTACACTAATAAAATATAGGTATCTGGAATACAATAAATAGTATTGCACAAGACACAATTTAGTTTATACATTACTTATAAAATATTGTTATACAATCTTTATCATAACGACGCATATCGATTTTGCTAGGATTACCAAAACTACGTAGTTCGGTTCATTGTTTCTGAACTAGTCCTAGATGTCATTTCCAAGTTATTTTGGCCATCTAACGTAGTTCATAAAAACACCACTAAATGTCAACAAACTATAAAGGAGATTGCTCAGCTTCCATACATGTTTGGCCTAAAGACCAATAATCATGAACAATTGTTTCCTAGATTCGAAATTATATATAAATTACTGTAGAAACGAATATTATTGACGGACACCCCTGAGAGCTTCTATAAACCATATACACTGAACTTTTTTAAATAATAAAAAAATAAAAAAGTTATATAGTAAACTAGGGAAATCAATCCAAGTACCGAAATTATGGATTAGCTTCAGGTATATAGAGCATGTAGATTAACAAATATTTGCCTGTTTTTAAAGTTAATGCATAAGAGTCACTTATAAAATCAGGTGTCATTTCCGGTTATAATAAGGTACTCTGTGACAGAAACTGTGTGATGATTGTGAATGAGCCACAGATTAGAGAGAATTTTTAAACTCTCGTTACCCAAAGAAAGCTAAGAGATTTAGGTTCTATAGCCATATATTCAGTAGCTTCATTATTTTTGTTATGTTTTAAGATAACCATATTTTAGAATTTTAGTGTATCACACCTTATAATTTTATTTATTTATTAATTTATGGTCAGGGAACGTAGGCCCATAGATAGATACCTTAAAGTCTAACATATATACAAATTATAATGTGTTTATGGAGATGATTGGCGAAAAATGTATGGCAATAGACTTTATGATGTCGCCTACCATATATAATAATTGTCTGAGCACATTTGCATCTAGTGAAAATGATAATATAGTTGTGGATATTAATACCACAGTGTAATAAAAAAAATGATTTATTTTATCGATCTTTACAAAATAGATTTGTTTTTATGTTATATAAACAATTTCGATTAGTCTTTGGCTGAATGTTACTACACCCATAGCCATTAAAAATGATTCGTATGTTTTCCAAACCGGTAAAATTAAAAGTACTTTTTAAAGTAAATATATTATACAAAGGTGTCCGTTGAAATCTAATGACTGTAAATTAAATTATAAATTACGCCAAGAATTACCGTGTATGTCAATATTTTTTGTGCATTTAGGCCAATTTGAGCAATCTCCTTTGGCAATTTTTTTGAGATTTTTCTATTTGACCTTAGATTTTGGGGGGTTGGGTCATGTCCCCTGTGACCCCCCCCCCCCCCCCCCTTCGGACCGCGCCTGGCTCCATTGGAACTCGTAAAATTTTTGGGTGTTCCATCCAAGACAGCCATAGTGTTCTAAAATCGAGATCACGATAGTACAAGAATTAAAGGTTGTGTTGAATGTGCTAACGAACTTAGTTCGAAGAGATACACCTTCGACTGTCCCCTTTCAATTGTTTAATAATAACGAAGAATAAAACTAGTTTTTACGGGTTAATGCACGAAACTTTATTTATTTATTGACGTTTCGGACGGTAGTTTACGGTAGTTAGGGTCAAATAAATAAACTCAAAATTACAAACAAGAATTTTAAATAAAATACTTTATTAAGTAAATTAAATAATAAATTCATAAATAGACAATAAAATTTTAAAAATCTTCCAATGAAATAACCAAACGCTCAATATAAGTCTTTCGAAGGTAGCTCGACAATTTTAAATAAAAAAATCATTATTCTGACGATGCAGACCTGAAAAGGCTGCGAAACGTCAATAAATAAATAAAGTTTCGTGCATTAACCCGTAAAAACTAGTTTTATTTAATGAGTGATGTGCGTGAAAACCTAAGAAACAAATAACGAAGAAGTTAACATGTACTGTGTGTGCATCCGATATCCACTTTCGGTCGGTCGCCGGTCTTCAAATAAAACCGAAAACAACTAATTATTTACCTACAATGCGAAGAGATGGCGCTGCCTTGCAGCTTAAGGCCAGGAAAATTTCGACGACGCGGCCAATAGGGACATGGTAGCATAATAAATAAATAAATATTTCCAACACTCACACCAATTAGTCTAGCCCCAAAGTAAGCACTGTAAGGCTCGTGTTATGGGATACTAGGGTAACGGATACAATACATATACTGTACATATATAAGTATATTAATATAGAAATACATATTAAACATCCATGACTGGAGTACAAATGCTCGTATTCATCACACAAACATCTGCCCCCACCGAGATTCGAACCCGGGACCTCTCGAGCCGGCGACACCATGAAACCCGGCGTACAAACCACTCGGCCACGGAGGTCTTCAAGATAATGGTCGTCGATAATGGTCAGTGCATTCGCCCGGATTGCGAAGGGTGCGGGTTCGAGTCCCGTCCGCTGCCTGGTCCGCGTGGTTTTTTTTTTCTAGTAAACTTTTCTTTAGATTTAAACATCTAGCAGTTAAAAAAAACATAACTAATTATTTCTTTAGTGACTTAGGTCCGTATTACAGAATGACAACTAAGTGTCGATCTTTACTTGAGTACAGTTAGAAAGGGATGTCGCTATGTGCTATATGTCGACATCCCTTTCTAACTATGCTCAAGACTAGATCAATCACTGAGAATCTTTCTATAATACAGGCTTTAGTGTAGTGATGTGTCCTTGCTGTAAGTAAAGTTTTGAGTGCTTCTTAGCAGGGCAATAGTGCCAGGGTGAGCCGTAAATCGTGGCTTTCTCGTTACTGTATTAACTGTAAATAATGATTACATTAGAGTGACGAGAAAGCCACGATTTACATCGTCGAAAAAAAAAACTAAAATAAATAAAATAAAAAATAAAATAAAATAAGTTAAGATAAGATAGAAGCACGGAGGAATTCGAGATAGAAGCTTTTTGGTCACCCATCCAATGACCGACCACTGCGAAAGTTGCTTAAATTCAATGATCGCAGTCGAACGCGCTAACCACTTGCGCCATCCAGGTCCTCCTGCGCCATCCAGGTCCTCAGTAGTAAACAAACACACAGAACAACATGGACACCAGAAGCCGCGTCTGTGTTGTATTGTGCAATTAAACTCGTAGTTAGTAGATGTAATTTGAGAATTAATTGAGTCATAATACTTAAATATGTAAGAATTACGTCGTTTATTACCATACTAGCTGAAATAAAGTTAATTAAAACATAATAAGCTCACCAAAAATGTCAAAGGTGGAAGGAACAAGGTTTTTAAAAAAATATGACGAGCCTGTCATTCTACAGACGAACTAAAATGGTCAATTTGAATCCACACAGTTATTAAAAAAAAATAAGAACATTAAATAAAGAATTCTCATTATAACCAAAACGTCGCTTTCTCCTCTTCTTTAGAAAACAAGTAAAAATTGCGACGATATATATATATATATATCATGATATATATATATATATATATATATTGGATATCTTAGCACTTGTTTAACACATAAATTCAAAATTCAACATCGTTTATTCAGTCTAGGCTGTTACAAGCACTTGTGAATGTCGAAAAGCTACGCCATCGGTTCGCAAATCTACGGCGGGAGACCTTATACTGAGAAGAACCGGCAAGAAACTCAGCAAGGGCTGTTTTTTCCCCCTGTATTATATACAGAGTCGTCAAATTGAAAAATGACTTCAATATGAGGTAACTCATAAAGTCACTTTCCATTTATACTTTTTTAAACTGTGCGACCTGCAGAGAATGCTACGTCTGCAAAGTACACTGTATGTTTCTATACTATTGACGTTTATTAAACAAAGTTTTCGTCAATTTTCCATAAGCTAGCTCAGTAGGTTGGTATCGAAGCGGGGATTTTTGATTTACTAGACACGGCAGAGTAACATATGGGGGGCAACCTTACACCTTGTACTCACAGCGGTATGGTAAGTAAATCAAAACTCAGGGTTTGGGCTCCTACTATTTCTTTTATGAAATGAAATGAAATAAAATTCTTTATTGGCATCATAAATTGGCTCTTCGCACAACGGTATTGGCTTCAAGTTCGTTTGTCCCTAGAGTAAGTAGACTTCTAAATTCTTTGGATCAGTCTATTGATATTTATGCTGTTAGTCTCAATGCATTTCGTCAGCACTTGCAATTGACCACGTTTTAGAATGTTGATAATATGTAGCTTTAGAAATTGGCAGAATTTTGTAAATGTCTTATTTTAATGTTACTGGTAATTATTAACTATGCATGTGGTGTTTACCTTTAATAATTTGTGCTTTTAGCTATAGTACTTTCGCTGTAATATTTACATTGTATTATTGTAACAATTTCCGGTAAACCTATTAAATAAATAAATAAATATACATGGAATTTGACAAAAATAAAATCAAAGTTAATCTATAGACGGCCAACCGCAGGACCCTGCCTCAGCATAAGCTGACATAGTGAGAAAAGAAAAAGCTTCTCTCACCATGTCAGCGCTGGTATTCTGGCAGGGCCTTGCACAGGTCGCTTTTATGGTTCGTAACACATTCAAAAATCAAGTAAACACTAAAAACAGCACAATAAAAAACCCACATCACCATAGAGTACATATATCTTTATATATATAATTCTTCTGTGAGTGTGTATGTCACTGAACTTCTCTTAAACGACTGGACCGATTTTGATGAAATTTTTTGTGTGTGTTCAAGGGGATCTGAGAATGGTTTAGATTCACAATTTTGTCCGCTGGACAACCCCTATTTTTTTAGGGCGGTACGAAGTTCGCTGGGTCAGCTAGTAATATATATTAATATAATGAAAATTATAATTATTTGTATATTGGTGTCGATTCTTTAGGGCTGATACTTAATCATCATCATCATCAGCCTATTAATGTCCCCACTGCTGGGGCACAGGCCTTCCCTATGGATGGAATAGGGAGATCGGGCAATGACCCACCACGCGGGCCCAGTGCGGATTGGTGGGTGCTTACCGGCAGCTTATGCCGGCTTATGCTGCCGGGACCAACGGCTTAACGTGCCTTCCGAAGCACGGAGGAGCTCGAGATAGTATACTTTTGGTCACCCATCCAATGACCGACCACTGCGAAAGTTGCTTAACTTCAACGATCGCAGCCGAACGCGCTAACCACCTGCGCCATCGAGCTCCTCAGAGGGCTGATACTTACTTATCAATATGTCTTTGTCCTAGTGGTGTATGCTCGGGTGTGGCGGTATTGCTGATCACTGCTACAGCGTATGACATGCGACTGGCACGCGCAGTGCGTCGCCAGAGACAGCGCGCCGCCAACCTGAGCTCCGTAGACAGCAGCCCGCGAGCCGACCTCAAGCTAGACCTCAACGGGCTTGATGACATCAAAGTTGCAAACGGTATGATAATGAGCTTTCTCTGGTATGGTAGAGTATGTAGGAAAAAGAATGGGATTTATATTGGAGGGCGCTGTAGTGCTTTTCTACCGTATTTGTAAGGTTTTACCCTTTTTAGACATGATTAAATACAAAAAACCGCAAGAAATCACAACAACAAACAAATCCGTATCAATACAAAACTTTGACGTAACAGATTGCTGGGTTTGATTGCCAAATAAAAATCTTAATGTTAGTTCCGTTTCTCGCCACGCCCATTCTCTTTCCGCGCAGACTCTAGTGTAGTATTGCTAATTACTGCTACAGCGCTATCTCTGCGCGTGACATTCGCATGTCGCAGCGAATGTCACGCGCAGAGATAGCACGCCGCCAACCTGAGCTCGGCCGACAGTAGCCCGCGTCAAAGACATCAAAGTTGCAAACGGTATGATGGTTAGCTTTCCCTGGTGTGGAGGTGTTGCTGATCAGCGCTGCAGCGTACTTGCGCGCGCAAAGTAGACCTCAACGGAGTTGATGACATCCATGTTGCAAACGGTATGACAATGAGTGTTCTCGGGTGTAGTGGTATTGCTGATCACTGCTCCAGTGTATGACATGCTTCTGGTGCGTTCGGTGCGTCGCCGGAGACAGTGCGCCGACAACCTGAGCTTGGCTGACAGCAGCCCACGCGCCGACCTAAAGCTCGATCTCAACGGACTTATTGACATCAAAGTTGCAAACGGTATGATAATGAGCTCTCTCTCGTGTGGCGGTATTGCTGGTTACCGCTACAGCGTACGACATGTGGTTGGCACACGCGGTGCTTCGCCAGAGACAGCGCGCCACCAACCTGAGACAGCAATCGCCAACGGTATGACGATGACTATGGGCTTTTCATCGCTCATTACTTCGCTCATCATGTTCCAGGTACACATATTGTACAAAGCTAGAGAAAGTCCAACTACATTCTAAAATAATAATAATAAATAATAAATATTTCCAACACTCACACCAATTAACTTAGCCCCAAAGTAAGCACTGTAAGGCTTGTGTTATGGGATACTAGGGTAACGGATAGAATACATATACTGTACATATAAAAGTATATTTATATAGAAATACATATTAAACATCCATCACTGGAGTACAAATGCTCGCATTCATCACACAAACGTCTGCCCCCACTGGGATTCGAACCCGGGACCTCTCGAGTCGGCGACACCATGAAACCCGGTGTACAAACCACTCGACCACGGAGGTCGTCAAAAAAGAGACAAATCTCAGTACATTTTCCCTCCAAATGGAAGCTCCTCTAAAGTTTAATCAACTTACATATAACGGAAGACTGAACCTATAATAAAACATCAGACTAGTGTAGTTAAGAATACTACCTAACCTAACCTTAAAGGATACCCGCAAAATTACTAGACATGGGCGTTTTTGGTTTTGAACGCAAACGGATATTTATCGGATTTCGATATCCGATTTCAGATGTGCCGAACTTAGCCAATTCACTAGTTTGTGTTATGATTTGGTTTTATTAGCTAACGACAATCACAAACAATTAATTGTAGGAAGCAAGGATACTCGTAGATTTTCGCGATTTTCCTTCATGCTTTAAATCTAGGCTTAGGACTAGCAGAAAAGTTATGTTTAGGGATAAGAGTAAAACTTTTGCGGCGCATTTAAAAATCGGCTTTTATACAATGATTTCTTTTTACATATTTTTTTAGTATTTTTTTTTGTTTTTCTGTTTGTTTTTATTATTTTTCAAACCATTTACAAAATCGAACCTAATTACTTCAGGTTAGCGTCCAAAAATGTAAGGTGCTCGACTTTTGATGTTTTTAGACGACATATCTTTTCAGTGATAAATAATCCCACCTCAGAGAAGAGCAATAGATTTCCGTAAACAGCAAATCGAAATCGGACTTCCGAGCACGAAATCTGACTTCTGAAAACGAAAGCACGAATTTCGAATCCGATTTACATTTGGACACTTGTGGTATTAGATAGCTAGACTAGCGTTTTGGTTCGGTTAGATTTCTGAAATCGGATTTTCTTGTTGAGAAATCGTTCGGTATCGATTTGTGTTTGAAATCGGATTTTGGATTCGTTTTGATATATCGGACGCATGCCTAAAAATTACCCAGTTCTTTCCTTTTGGTAAAGACAGTTATGTGCATACAGTCTCATTTAAATATGTGTGTTTTTTTTTTTCTGGTTCAGGCAAGAAAATGTACAATGTGAACAACAACATCGCCATTAACAGCAACACTTCGGAGGAGCGTCTCACCGCTGAAACCGCCTCCAACCACGAAGAACTCAAACTGAGTAAGAAACTGCTTTTTTTTGAGTGTGTATGCTGTTGGTCGCAGATGACCTGTACAGCGTCACCGGGTTTGGGGACGGCGAGATCCTAAGGGGACCTCAAGCCGAGATTTGGCGAGTGCCTCTAGAGGTATTCCAGCACTTCGCACTCTTATCCTACGGGTGCGGTGTCTGCCTAATGCTAAGCTAGTGTGCACGTTTGCTAGCTGTGTAGTGTTGGTGTTTGTGGCCTGTGTGGGAGGAATCGGAGGCGCCATTTTACTGCTGTTATTATTTTATGCGATACGGAACTATTTAGGAATTCCACTGAAGACAAAAAAAGATCTTATGATCAAGAAAGGTCCTCGGAAATTTCGTAGAGCAGAGAAGAGAACAGTTCATAAAGAAGTACATGAATGCGATGGGAATTCAAATCTACACAGGTATCAGACAGAATTCGATCCAGGTCCTTTTGCTATCTGACCGCTATTTTATCGTTTGTTTCGTTCACTTCTTTGAATGATACCTGGGTCGAGTTGTTTTTTTTACAGCAAACATTCTATCAGAAAGTGTCAATCTAGCAGAAGACCAAAAAAATCTATAGAATCTTCTCTGTGCTTCGCCTTACATTCACTCTGGGTCTGCGTGGTACAATGCCCCATGTTCCCTAAAAATATCTTTTTTGTAAGACCTTGCTACAAAACGCCGTTCCTTATTAATTATGATACCGGCACAACACGTAATATGTGTCAAATTTGCAGGCGTATGGTCGCAGCTACTGCTGTCGTTCTCGATGAAGGCCAACGTGTTGCAGATCTTCGATCAGTCGGTGGGCGCCGACACCGTTCCCGTTGTGCACGGCCTGCGATCCCTCTCCATGGTGTGGGTCATCTTCGGGCACACCTGCATCGTTGTCTTCAAGGTAAGCACCCACTGCTGACTGTGGGAAACATAAGCATAACAAACATGAATGAAATGTTTGTTATGCTTATGTTGCCTAATAAGCATGAAAACATGAAAACACGTCCTCTCCTCTTGCAATTGCGATAGCCTACACTACAGGGTCCATAATGCAGTTTTTGTCTATATGTTACCACCTTTGTATCTCCATTATGGTCTGCAATAAATGAATTGAATTGAATACGTATACTACTGCGATCATTTTCGATGCGACTTGACCATTTGATGGTTGGCAAATATTTACTTAGCGCGTCTACTATGACGTAACGAAGAGGAAAATTAAATAAAACTAGCTTTAACGGGTTAATGCACGAAATTTATTTATTTATTGGCGTTTCGTTTATCTGACGATGCAGACCTGAAAAGGCTGCGAAACGTCAGTAAATAAATAAATTTCGCGCATTAACCCGTTAAAACTAGTTTTATTTAATGAGTAATGTGCGTGAAAACCTAAGAAACAAATGTGGCGGAAAATGTCGAAACGGTTCGTCCTGGCCGGCACTTGTAAAGCAATTATTTATTGTTAAATAAATATCCAGGATAAATGAAGGCTTTTTTTAAAATTAAGCTGCAGGTGCTAAGAGGATGTCAAAATTAGATCCCACCCGGGACTCAACGCCTCTGCCGTCTTTGAATATATTTAAAAAAAAAACTTACGGACCGCCTGCTGCTGCCAAAGCAGAATGTGTGTTCATGCATTCATATTGATTCCTGCAGTAAACAAGATTGGCAGAAATGTATGCCAGTTTTTAAGACAGCCTTTACGAAATTTCTTAGATATGTACTACGTACAATAAAATTATTGCTTTCATTCCAGTACGCAGATAACACCGCGCTGCGAGCAATCTTGGAAAAGAGCTTCTGGTTCCAGCTGATCCTCAGTGCCGTCTACAGCGTGGACACGTTCTTCTGTCTTGGGTAATGATAACGGTATACATTGTAACACAGCACTTTACAGATTTTAAGAAAATGACTAATCACACATTAATATTTATTCTAGAAATTTCAATACAAGAATGGTTTTAGTCTAAACACCTGGAAAAGAATTTGTATTTGATTTTGAAAAACAAAATCTTTTACGCATTCACGTCGTTTTCATCAGAAATTTTAAACCCTATCGGATAAATGCAGCGTGGGGCGGCTAACAATACTGACAATATCGTCAAATGTGCTGGAAGCCGCTGGATGCGGATAGCGCAGGACCGCGCATTGTGGCGTTCTATGGGGGAGGCCTATGTCCTGCAGTGGACGGAGAAAGGCTGATGGATGGATGGATGGATAAATGAGGAAAAAGAAGATTTCTTTATCACCGCCAAGATTGTGTTTTTTTAAGTGTTTCTATTTTCCACAACACAATGTCCATTCGCTACCTACATTAATCAGATTTACTTTCACCAGACAATATTGTGATATTGTATATTTTATTATGTTAAAATTATATATAGTGTTAAAAAATATATAGTTGTCAAATGACCAGTACCACAAAATCCTTTAACCGTTGATGACATCTCACAGAGGGATGCTGGTATCGTTCCTGTACTTCCGGACCAACTCGAAGGGCAAGCTAGACCTCCTGACGAAAGGCCGCCACAAGCTTACCTCCGGCGTGCTGCAGTTCCTCGGACTTATGGGATACCGATTCGCCAGGTTAACCTTTTGCCTTATTATCTTATTACCTTTCTTTTAAACTCCAAGTACATAAATAAAATTATCTTCGTCATAATAGTCATATCCTTCATGATCAAAAGCCTTGCCTAAAACCAAACGCTATTGGCAACAACTATAAAACTATTTGCCTTGATAAAGTTAGGTCTTTGATAGTACGTAAAAATTCATTTTCCTGGGATTAAGCCACAGATATTATACTATATTTATTTAATACTTAGAATGGCGAATAAGATGAGTTAGCGCTGGTGTGGTAATTATGAATAAAGTAATTTATCAATGATCCCAAAGGTCATGATAAAGTAGCTAACAAAAACAATAAAGTATTTTCTATTGATGACGCTAATTTGTACAGTTTTATTTATACATAAGTAACTTTTGCATAGATTGACGGCGCCGTACCTATTCATGCTGGGCGTTGTGGAGGTGACGATGAAGTGGTTCGCGCACAACGCGGTGTTCGAGCCGCCCGCACTCGACCACGAGACTTGCCCGCACTACTGGTGGCGCAATCTACTGTACATCAACACGCTGTTCCCAGTGGAGCAGATGGTGAGTTTTTCATTATAATATCACCATACACTGATGACACCGCACCTGGGCCACATTCTGGGCGTATTGAATACAGAGAGAAGACACTAGATTAATTACACAAAGTGTATATTATATAGGACTAGCTTTTACCCGCGACTTCGTCTGCGTGTAATTCGAATAAAAGCAAGGTCTTTATGTATCAATAACTGGTGCTCGCGACTTCGTGTGCGCAGTATTAGTATTTCGAGTAGCTTATATTAGCGTGAAAAGAACTAACATTATGACATTAAAATTATAACATACATAATTTTTGGGTCGTATTTTTGAAAAATATAACAGTCTGACAATATTGAGATGTTACATTCGCACTGTAATAACGTAACAATATTGTCAACATAAGAAATACAGTAATTAAGCACTGCAAACTCCTAATCATAGGCCTATAGGTAGCTACTGCAGTATGCTTCTATAAACTATATTTAGCGATTTTTTTCCTTCAGCATAAATATGCAGATTTTTCGCTTTGGAAACACGTGAGCAAGCCACATAGAGCTGACCGTGAGAAAAACATGGCGTGCCCAAATGTATGCCTGCTACCTTTAAGGTTTGACCCTGCGATTTGTTGATCGTCATTGAAAATGCGACTTTCAATGGGAACTGCAGGCGTTTAAAATTGAATGGCAAGTTGTTGGGTATAATTGGGATGCGCGGTATAAGAACATTGTCTCCATTGGCTTCTCCAGTTAAAATTGTGGCCTTCACAATGTGCCTCCCTAGTTCCCTGTTATATTTTGGACAATTCACACAATATCTTTATAAATTATAGCCTATGTGTTATTCTGATCTATAAGCTACATTACTGTAAAGTTTCATTAAAATCCGTTTAGTAGTTTTTGCGTGAAAGAGGAACAAACATCCATCCATACATCCATCCAAACAAACTTTCGCCTTTATAATATTAGTAAGGATTAAGAGCGACAAAATGAATCTGATTCCACTCAAACTTAACATCAGGAGTGGGTTACAGTAAATCATAATAGTAAATGTAATGTAATGTTTTTGTTAAAATTGATTTATGTACTAACAAAGAAAAGTATTTGCAAAGTTTGTTGATTACAGTTATTCCTATTAAACTCAAAATAAATATTTTCTATTACAGTGCATGTTATGGAGTTGGTATCTATCAGACGACACGCAGTTCTACGCAGTTAGCGCTATACTTCTTATTTTAGCTACAAGGTAAAATTTATACCTTTTTTTTCCTTATTTTCTTTCAATATCTTTTATTTTTTTTAAATCTGACAATTTCAAATGAAATTATTTGTCAATTATCAACTAATTTCTTTGACAAGGCAGCAAATTTATCTCTAATAGTCCTGTTTCTTTGCTACGTTCATCTGCTTGCGGATTTTTGATGGTAACCTCCGTGGTTTCTGATTTCCATAGTATAAGTGCTTCAACTTCTAATTGTTGAGTGCAACTAAATTGTTGAGTGAGGCTCCACTGACGCGGGCATTGCGCACAATCAACAGAATTAATGAAAAGACGGACTTATTCGTTTGTGCTCTGAGCGAATTCACAAAACAAGCTGAGTGGATCATCATTTTCAATTAATTATTTATTTTTCCAATGTGTTATATTATGTGTGTTTAGGTGTTATATTTATAATGTATTTCTTAAATGGATGTATCTATTGCCTTGGGTAAATACCTGTAATGATAGATATAAGTATTTGATATAAATAAACAAATAAATAAATAAAACTATTTTGAATCTTTGTCTTGCCTTCCAATTAATATCGTCTAATATCTAACCTATCCGAACTTACTGAGTTTTCCTATCACCAACAGCCACTTCAAATTGTCCGTCTCCTTGACGGGAGTCTTCTTCATATCATCGTTGTTCACGACGGGCTACGTGTCGTGGAGTAATGAGCACGTGCCCAACAGCGAGGACCCATTTACCCAGTTCGACAAGATCTACGACAAGCCCTGGACCAGGCTTGGGCCCTACCTCGTTGGCATGGCTACCGGATGGATCTTATTCAAGACTAACTTAAAAATCAGAATGGGCAAAGTGAGTACTTCATCCTTTTTTTATTTGAAGTCGGTATAAAATTAGTAGTATACGCAGAAGAAGTTAAGAATTTAGATTAAACAGATATTTAAGGCGATTCGAGTATCACTAAAGCAATGGATTACAAAATAACTCATTATCCTTTTAAACATCCATGCACTGCACGTTGCATGTGTAATAAAATCTTGTTATGGTATAATTAAGCGGAATTTTCATCAATTTTAAAATTAGCGCAATTTTATATTACACATCAGCTACTTTCTTTTTTCCTAAATAAATCTTACAAATAAAATAAAAAGTATCCATCTTAAATCAAGTTTAAAAGGAACCTATGAAAAGTCCGGTCGTTAAATTGTAAAATATTATATGGCCGAAATAAAAATCTTTGCAATAGAAATTCATTATTTAGTATTCTTATCCGACGACCTCCTTGGCCGAGTGGTTTGTACGCCGGGTTTCATGGTGTCGCCGACTCGTGAGGCCCGGGTTCGAATCCCGGTGTGGGCAGATGTTTGTGTGATGAATACGAGCATTTGTACTCCAGTCATGGATGTTTTATATGTATTTCTATATAAATATACTTATAATATGTACAGTATCTCTTATCTATTAGACAAGTCCGTCCGTCTGTCTGTGGTGCTGTTTCAGCGGCCAAACATTAAGGGATAGATAAAGAGAATATTTAAGTTATAAGTTAAGAATAGTCTGATAAGACTACAAACCGGATTTGAGTAACGTAGCACTTCCGGTTTTCGAGAAATCAGGTTTTGGTGAACATTTGGTTCACTGGTTTGCTAGTATGTATTCTAGTATCCCATAACACAAGCCTTATAGTGCTTAGCTTGGGGCTAGGCTAATTGCTGTAAGTGTTGGAAATCTTAATATATATAAATCTCGTGTCACAATGTTTGTCCTCAATGGACTCCTAAACCACTTAACCGATTCTAATAAAATTCGCACACCATGTGCAGTTCGATCCAACTTGAGAGATAGGATAGTTTAAATCTCAAATTATAGTCGCAATTTTAATTTATTGAAAATTATTACTTTTGGGCGGTACGAAGTTCGCCGAGTCAGCTAGTATTTAATATATTTAATTTATAGGTATGGGCATGTGTGGGCTGGGTGGTCTGCACAGCTACGCTGCTGTTTCTGATCTTCGGATTGTACCAAACGGAGTTGGGAGTGGCGGCCGCTGCCATCTACAGCGCCCTCTCACATTCGCTGTGGGCCGCCTGCATCGGTTGGATCATCATCGCTTGTTCCACTGGTTACGGAGGTAACGATCAGTTCTACAAGCCCTTATTTAGCTTCATCTCGATGGCGCAGCGCATTTGGCTGCGATTGTTGAAGTTAAGCAACTTTCGCAGTGGTCGGTCATTGGATGGGTGATCAAAAATCTTCTATCTCGAGTTCCTCCGTGCTTCGGAAGGCACGTTAAGCCGTTGGTCCCGGCTTCGTCTGCAGTCGTTAGCACCCACCAATCCGCACTGGGCCCGCGTGGTGGGTCATGGCCCAATCTCCCTATTACATCCATTGGGAAGGCCTGTGCCCCAGCAATGGGGATATTAATAGGATGATGATGATGTTGAGTTAGCTTCACCCGTGCCGGCCACTACGTCTGTCGGTAACCAAATATTGAAAGATAAATTCGACAAATTTCCCGGTTTCCAATTGATGCATTTCGCGTGGATTTTTTTTTCAAGTAATATTTTCTTTAGATTTAAACATCGAGCAGTTAAATGCTTAAAAAATAAAAATTATAATTATTTATCTAAGCTTATTCCTCGTTTATTAAGAAGCCGGATCGAGTTTAGGCTCGTTTATATTATTCTGGCATGGACTCTGGTTGTACGATGTCTAGTCTCTACCCAGGGTCTAATGATGAAGTCGGAATGTGTGACGCAATTCAATTGAGTCTGACGCCACGCTGAAAGTGCTCTGCCACAACAGTGCAGATATTAAAAAGAAATCGTTCCACAGGAAACTGTATGAGTCAAACAATAATATTATTGCATCAATATACTCAACAATAACATATATCAACTTGGTAAAGTCCATTTAATACACACTGTCTGTTATCTGCATATCGCCAATGTTTGCAAAGTGCAATGCAAATCTAGATAAGTATATAAAACTCAAAACTGACTGACATAGTGATCTATCAACGCACAGCCCAAACCACTGGACGGATCGGGCTGAAATTTGGCATGCAGGTAGATGTTATGACGTAGGCATCCGCTAAGAAAGGATTTTGATCAATTCTACCCCCAAGGGGAACAAATAGGGAATGAAAGTTTGTATGAAACTGTCAATTTTAAACCGATCGGGTTGAGACTTTGCATGCAGGTATAAGAAGAATCATAGATGACTGTCATTGTGTTTAATACAAGCCTGAGAACAAAAACTGTATTCTACACTTCAGCTCTACACCGAAGCGAAGCGAGGGCGGGCCGCTAGCTTTTAATAATGTATATTAATTTATTTTTTATTATTATTATTGTTTGAATTCAGTTTGAATAATTGACGAGTTGTGATACAACGATTTAATTTTAAGATAAAATGGGACAAAATGCAATTGTAATTTTAATTTTTAATATGGGTTACTGTGCCTGAAATAAACATTTATTATTATTATTTACTTTATTTCATTAAAAATACATACATTAAAAAAAATAACATCTACAAATACAAAAATGCAGTTCCCCATCGGCAGCAAGATCAGGGTCCCTGCTACCGGTGGTTAAGGATCCATAGACAGGAACCTCCTCACTATACAGGCCGTGTCCAGAAGTACTGCCTTCTGCATCTGACTCTTGACCCAGCCACCTAAAGCGAGCCTCTTAAGGTGTTTATCGAGGCTCTTGTCTATCAAACCATGGGCAGATATGATTATCGGCACAACAATTTCTGAATCGATGTCCCACATGGCAACAATCTCGCGAACTAAATCAAGATATTTGTTTTCTTTTATTATTTATTATACTCTCATTTATTTCATTTCACAGTTAGGTTTTTTTATAAAATAGATATAAAAGTAAAATACAAAAACGTAAATATAAAAATAAATATAGTATAAAAAACCTAACCTAGAAGGCCACCAGCAGCGGAGCGAGGCCCAAGCTACCGGTGGTTAGGGCCGCAGAGAAAGAAACCGCCTGACGATACGCGCCGTGTCCAGGAGTACTGCCTTTTGCATCTGCCCCTTAACCCAACCATCTAGCGAGAGGCTCTTTAGATGTTGGTCGAGACTCTTCGCTATGAGACCGTTCACACTAACTATAGGGGCAATGATCGTCGAATCCACTATTATTGGAGTTTACTCCTTAAGAATCGATTTGCATATATAAGGGGCCCGGTATGAGAAAAATGTGAGGAGTAAAATCTATCTATGAATGACATTAATGACCTCGTTACGTTTTTGTGCGCAACCTCATCTGCGCACCTTTCACTTTTAGCCATGGCAACGGATAAAAAACATTAAGTTGTCACAAATGTCAATAAAATAATTAAACTAAAAATAGATAAAATCGGAGCAAAATTAATGAAAACAAATAAATAACAGAATATAGAGAAATGTCGGTAAGTGTCCAGCACTCTGGAATAGTGATTTTCAGTACAGATGGAATTATAATACATATTTACAAAATGATGACTAGTGTGTGATATTTTTGAAATTGTGTGTTTCCAGAAATACATAATAAAATATATGATGAATATCGCTGATGTTAGATGGTAAAATGTGTGACATGGAACCTATGATAGTCGAAACCATGGGACGATTCCTGAGGTATCTCTACTTGTAACCGACTTCTTCGGACTTCATTTTGTTTTGTGTCTGTTCAAAGACAATCGTTTTTAGAGTGTAAACTCCGGTCGTGCGTCGGAGCTGACACACACTATTTTTTTATTATTATTAACAGTGTTGCTCTTGTAACAGGCTGGGTGCGAACATTGCTGTCGGCGCCTGTCCTGTACCCGTTCTCGCGCGTGACGTACTGCGCGTACCTGGTGCACCCCGTCGTGCTGCGATACGTGGCCATGCACCTAACTCACCCCATACACCTCGGCGAGCTGCTGGTGGTAAGTGATGTCACTTTTTTTATGGTGATAGGGTGGCAAACAAGATTATAGCCCGACTAGAGATGGGTCAAGGGTAAAAACCCAAATAGGCAAAAAGGGCATATACTGGGCAAATAGGGAAAAAACGTTTTTACGTCCAAATAAATGTCCAGTCGCTGGGCAAAAACTCGAAAGATAAGAATACCGTCACAAAAATGATTTTTAAATCTAATATCCTCGGTAAAGCTTACCCACGTTTCAAATGTAAGCATTGAACACAATTGTGGCAAATAGCTAGTTGATTTTAATAAAAATGAGTTCGTTCATATGCCCAGTCTTAAGGACATTTATTGGACAGAAATGGACATTTATTGGGCAAATACGGAATATGCCCAAAATGCCTGGGCAGAAACCCATCACTAAGCCCGACTGATGGTACAGGTCGCGGCACGCAGACCCGTCTTTCCCAGTGGGCACTTTGGGCAAGTGCCCAAGGCCCCGCGATCGATAGGGCCCCCCCCCCCCCCTCAGATCAAATACAAAGTCCCTAGTTAGGGTTACCTATAATGCGAAGAGACGGCGCTGCCTTGCAGCTTAAGAATGGCTAGAGGAATTTCGACGCGGTCCGTGAGGGCCGCGGTAGCATAATTGGTCAGTGCATTCGCCCGGGTGCGAAGGGTGCGGGTTCGAGTCCCGTCTGCTGCCTGGTCCGCGTGGATTTTTTCTCTAGTTATATTTTCTTTAGATTTAAACATCAAGCAGTTACATGCTTTAAAAAAGAGAAAAAACCCTAGTTCTTGCCTATTATAATAGTTTTCCTCAATTGTTGGTATTAATGACAAAATGTGAAACAGCTCAAGCTTTTTTGTCTGTACAACTGTTATACTGTTTATACGAAAAATACATAAAACAGTAGGAAAATTCTTGAAATAATAAAGTTGTATTAGATATGTAAGCAGTATCTGAGATGGAGGATTTCTCAAAAGGGAAAGCATAATCATTTTTACGGACTCCATAATCATTTGTCAATAACGTGAGATCGTTTTCTAAAACTTGTCTAATACCCTATTTGAGCGGAAAATTGATTATGACCTACCTCTCCTAAATTTTATCATGTAACAAGGATGGCTAATACGCATATGTCCCGAGCATATAGCTCCCATCTTGCCAACGACAAATATGACAAACAAGCCATTTATTTTGAATAAACCCCATGAATTAACTGATTCTTAATTGGCAGTATACTGTTTCATAGTACATATAATACTGGTTCTTATTTACCCCTCATTTTGTTTTCCCTGATTATAGTTGTAATTCTAAGTATGGCCAGGGAAATAGTGATCAAAATGTATTCTAGTTTGAGCGTTTTTTTTTTCTCCTTCGTCTACAAGCCAATTTCATACCAAGAAGGTAGCAAAATCAAACCGAAGAATGAATGTTATTTGCTTATTGTAAACATAATCGGGCATGCCGCAGTGTCGCGCAGTTCCGTTTTGTTCGGAAAAAAAAGAGCACATAATATTTTTTAGCTAAGCTCCACTTTTAAATCACTGGCATGCATTGACACGTTACTCATTGTTTTTTTTTTTCAACACACACACCAATTAGCCTAGCCCCAAAGTAAGCACTGCAAGGCTTGTGTTATGGGATCCTAGGGTAACGGATAGAATACATATACTGTACATATATAAGTATATTCATATAGAAATATATATTAAACATCCATGACTGGAGTACAAATGCTCGCATTCATCATACAAACATCTGCCCCCACCGAGATTCGACCCCGGGACCTCTCGAGTCGGCGACACCATGAAACCTGGCGTACAAACCACTCGGCCACGGAGGTCGTCTATTCCCATATCCCCATTCAATTCCCATTCCCATTCCTATATTCCATATCCCATATTTGCCATAATTAATCTGAGTTATTATCAAATATTCAGAACATTATTTCAACAAGAATTAAACCCGCGTAGTCAACCCGCAAGCAATAACATTTGACATTTCGGATCACGCTAAACTAGCGGCTCTAACGGCGGGTACATACGCGATAGCCCTCATTGTCAACAGTCAAATAGATACACTACTGCGGTACTAATTACAAATGCTTTCCATCTATTTTCAGTTCGTGCTCTTCCTGGGTCTAACGGTGATATCATACGCGCTCGCTTTCGTCATCTCGGTGGCGTTTGAGGCGCCCATAGTCACCATGCTCAAAATCCTCTCCCCACAGAAGAAGCCGCACCGAGTCTAAATCACAGACCACGTACAAATTTCTACTTAGTTATGAGATTATAGCGACGGGGATGTGTCTAGACTGATCGAGTATTCTTTCTAGTATTACCAGTTCTAGATGCTCCCACTGAAAACGTATAGAACGAGGAAAATTCATTGCAAATGTTTTTATCTTTACGCGTGTTTGAGCCAGCAGCAAAATACGAAGCGAAGCACAAATTAGGAAATACTCCTACAGCCGGTACATAAATGGCATTAAAATCTATACTGTGGTTTTGTCATATCGCGATGCGTTTCATTTTAAGCTGCAATATCGCTTAAAAATGTTTTTTTTCTAGTTTCTACTAGTTAAGGAACAATATTTGGTATATTGAAGCTGAGTATATGGTAGAAACCAGGAGGTAATTATAGACAGTACCTGGATGATATAATTATTGCATAAAAATTAGTTATCACTGGTCTTGTCTGCAATTCTTGCATTCTGAACATTACCTGTTTTGCCTTCTTCTTATTCATACAACAAGTTATATTCTACTGGTGGTTTGTCCTACCAATCAAAGCGTTTATCATAAACATCTTTACTTTAGTTACCTTGAAGAATGTTTTCTTTTAATTTATTTAACTCTTCCTTTTCTTCTAGTGTAAGAAAGCTATGAACTATTTTCAGTTCACCGATGTATTCTTTGCTCAAATCATCCCTGTCAATAAGGATACAGTGGACATATTCACTCCACCGAATCTTTTGACAAGCAAGAGGTTGCACTGAAAAGTTAAACTTAATGTCAAAGTGCATTACTCGCATTTGAATGTTTTTGAATTTAGTCAGGGACAATGTACATTTTAATTTAGTGTGCACGAAAAATATTTTAATATTAAGTTATGAATTAGATCTCGGAAATTTAACAGGTTTAATTAATCCGTGTCACAACTAGTTAAATTGTAAGTACGAGACGTAGATTTTTAGTTTATTTTTTAGGTCCTACTCAGACCAAAGTGTTTAAACTGTGGTGTGATTGATTAGTTTGTATTGATACTTTTTGATTATCGTAACTGTCAATTTCTAAGAAGATAATGTACAACGTTTGATTTTTAAGTTATGTGGTTACCATACACGTATAATAGTTCAATAGAGTTTGTTATCAAAATAAGTCTGTCAAACATTACCAGGAGCTCCATTTTTGAATCACTCGCTTTGCGGCGAACGCTCTATTTCTACTAATTTTCATTCGACGTAATTAAATCCGTATTTTTGAATCGCTCGAGTGCTACGAATGGGTGAGACCACTCGTTGCTTGGCGAATGGTGGAGGCGAATGATAGAATAATTGTCAAATTTGTGTCAGACGTCACGTTAGTGTCAAACTTATACATATTAAGTTTCTTTGTGTGATTGGATTTAGCCACTGAGTAAAATAAACTATTAGAAACTGTTTTGAAATGAGTGATGTGACATTTGAATTTTTCAAATGCTGGCACTTTACTTTGCTATTCATTTTGCTATTAGACAACGATAATAATAATAATAAGTCATGTTTTATATGAAACGACAAGAGCAGATTGACGTCAAGTTTCTTCTTCTTTTATTATGGCATGACGGCTAATGCATGTCAAGTTTACAAACAGCAATCACGAACAGCTAAGTGAAGTGCCGATAATATAAACAACGAAATAGATTTGTATTATACAGCTATGTACTAAGATTTTTTCGTTCCGTTTTCATTGCGGTTATTACCGGTCGAAGGTGACTTATGTCTCATTCGACGATACTATGTCAGACGAGTGATTCAAAAATAGAGCTCCAGTTCTATATGATGTTATAATTAATTAATGAGATGTGTAAAAATCGAACGTTTGCCAAAAGTCGGCATGAGAATTTTTCAAATAGATTTTTACAAAAGTTATGCAATAATATTGTATTGCTTTAAAATAAAGTAACATGACAACTTGATTGTATTGAGATAATCACATATTGTAAATAGGTTAATGTTTATTCCTTAATTGTGTATGTAAATAAGCTGTAAATAAATATTATATAAGTTTATAATGATTGTATATTAAAGAGTTTGTAAAGTTTTGTAATAAAAAAAAATAAAACAATAAATCTCTTTATTAAAACAACAAAAAACTAATCTATAAAACGTAAAAATCAGGTAAATCAGCCTTACACAAAAAAAATGGTGGTTTATTAATACACCTATATATAAATTGACAAATAGAACGAGATCTCTGTTATTATATTGCAAGTAATGTTCCCACTACGGGACATTGGCGAAATTTCTGAGTAAAACGGAAACAGACACAAAACAAAAAAAAATGTTCCAGTACTGAGTTCTGAAAAACCACCAACCTAGGGGAGCCCAAGCGAGGATTTTTGGATTTACTCGAGCGCGGCAGAATAACATATGGGGAGCAACCTTGCACCTAGTTAAGTGCTCCCACCATACCTGAGCCCTCTATGTAGGGCCGAAAATCTAGGGCAGCAAAAACAAAATTTCAACGAACGGTCATGAGTTTTGGTCGCGCCCAAATCGTCAGTCTTTTGAATATAAGCTACTAGAGGGTTCATGTAACGTTTCTAAGGACGGAAAAAATATTGATCTGCCGCGGTTTGCATGATATGGGGGTGGCCGTACGAAGGGGTAGAATATAGGAAAAAATAACTGAGCGCGTCAGACATTGAGAAGGGATGTTACGTGAACCCTCCAGTAGCTCCTTTTCAAAAGACTGACGATTTGGACCCGACCAAAAGTTACGGCCGTTTGTTGAAATTTGTTTTTGCTGACCTAGACGTTCTGTCCTACATAGATGGCTCAGGTATAGTGGGAGTACTTGACTAGATGCAAGGTTGCTCCCCATATGTTATTCTGCCGCGCTCGAGTAAATCCAAAAATCCCCGCTTAGGCTCCCCTACTATATACAGGCTGTTACAAAAATACAAAAAAAGCTTGAAGGGCGTTGAAGTACATCATATAAAGAGTCTACCCTAATTTTCTTAACATATTTGCATGAAGTTTAAACTTTTTATAAAAATAGTTATTTTTAATGATTCTCGAACTTAAAATGAACGTGTCTTAAAATGATCGATATTTTTATTCATCATTAAAAATAACTGTTTTTATAAAAGGTTAAAACTCCATGCAAATATTTTAAGAAAATTAGAATACAAAAATATAAATAAAGCTTGAAGGGCGTTGAAGTACATAATATAAGGAGTCTGTATATTATGTACTTCAACGCCCTTCAAGCTTTATTTATATTTTTGTAACACCCTGTATGTTTCTTAGGTTTTCACGCATACCACTCATTAAATATAACAAGTTTCAACGGTACGTACGGTACGGTATAGATGCACAGATTTATTTATTTATTACGTTTCGCATCCTTTTCAGGCTGCGTCGTCAGAATTAAGATTTTATTTACTTTGTCGAGCTACCCTCGAAAAATAAATATCATCTATAATATAAAAATGAATCGCTGATTGCGTTGCTAAGCGCAAATCTCGAGAACAGCTGAACCGATTTCGATCATTATTTTTTTTAGAATATGCCTTGATGTATGAGGATGGTTCTTACGCAGAGAAAATTTTTAAAAACATCCTGAAAATGTCCAAAAGCAACACTTTTCTATACTGCCAAAACAATTGAGCGACATTATGTCAATAGAAGTTTGGAAAAGGCAAATATACCATTTTCAGTTTTTTTTATAATTATATGAAGAGTCATTTATAGTCTACACTACAGCTCTACACCGAAGCGAAGCGAGGGCAGGCCACTAGTAAATAAATAAATCTGTACATCTATACCGTTGAAATTTATTTTATTTAACCAACCTATACTTAAATTAATCATAGTCTGACCCACCCATGGTTAGACCAATTTGTTACAATGAAAAAAGTATATTATCATTAAGTACTTCAAAGGCACAAAATGCATTTAATAAACAAAATATATCTTACATAATCTAGGTAAAAGTTTTTTAAACACATTGTGAAGAATATGGATAATGAGAGGGTATACGAATTCTATTGTTTGTGTCCGTCAGTTAGATTACCAAAAAATAATGGACACACTTATTTTACGTTTTGTCAATCGTAGTCGAAGTTTGGTAGAGAACGAAGAGGAAGCTCGTGACGTCACTTCTAAGTAAAAATTGTACCAAGACGTGACGTCATGCAACCTTTCAAACCAATATTTCCCTGTGATGTTTTGATGATGTGTATAAGGAAAAAATACGTGTTCAATATTTTTAATCATCTCTTTTTCTTTTTCTACCGATTATCACGTGATAGGTAGACAGAGAAAAAAACACCCATCATCCCTATTGACAAATCAATGGAAATCTGGTTCTGATTGAAAAATGTATATTACTTAGATAAACGAACTTTTTTATTTTTGTTGAGCTGATAGAGCATTCAAAACAAGAGTAAAGCTTAGCTAAGCACTTAAAAGTACTATGGCCGAACTTAACTTTCTTTCTACACAAGCTTAGAGGATAGAGTCAGGCCATTTTTGGGTTAAAATGGATTCAAAACCTCTTCATGGTAAATTTTGACTATCGGCCGCGATATCGCCTATAAAACAAGTGTTCACTGGTCATTTGTCCAGGTCACATCGAAAGTGAAGCAAAACGAAGTAAATTTCGCTCATTTCAATAAACTCAGACTCGTAACTAAATGGAGCTTAAATAAACTATACCTAAGTATGAAAAAATGCTTAACGATAATAGGTACCTAAGTGATGTTATAATGGACGTAGAGAGAATGAACTGAGTACTCTTTAGCCAGATTGTAGATAAATTCGAATGCAAACTACCCTTACCCTTAGCACGAATTATTATCGAATTGGAATAGTTGACTCGACCGGGTACAGGTACCCTCCCCGATCGCTTCGTCTCATTCACACTTTGTTGTAGTGTTGAGTAGGACTTACAAGAGGCAGTACATTTGTCCCGGACATGACGTCAAAATGTAAGAGCGGCTCAAATTTTCAAAATGTTCTACTTCACATTAAATGTCGCGATAGTCGCGTCTCGTTACTCACTCACTCTTCTTAAGTCTGAGAGAGAGCGAGGCATGACATTTCATTTAAGTCCTCTACGCACTATCCATCTGTATCTCTATCTGTTTTACGTGTATAGCGCTGTCCTGCATGCTGGATCCAGCAAGATTGATAGTGCGTAGAGGAGGTGCTACTCGTCGAGCTTCTGTACGCCTCGCCTCATTTGAAGTGGGACATTATACTGGCTCAGTACAAAAAAGAGGCTACTCTTACAAACTCTTTTTCAAGTCGTGTCCTACCCAACACTACTTTGTTGTCCGTTAGTTGCACGTTGTCACTATCAGTACTCTTAGTACGAGTTTGAGCTCACGAAAACTATCATAGTTTTCGTAATTGTAAATTATATTTCTATGTCCATTATGGTGAAAAGTAACCAAATATACTTAAAATTTAAGAAGATGCAAATGATAGAATAAAATTTAAATACTGTTTCATAGTGTAGGAAGGCCAAAGGGGAAGATCTTCCTCCGAGCTGGGTGATGTTAGCTCGGGGGCCGCGGCCCGACTGATGTTGGTCGGGCATCGTATATATGAAGAGTTAGCTTCCGAATTTCATTTGCGCGATGTAGGATTCCATACTATTATGATCGCAGTGCAGGTAACGCCGTCTCTTGAGGATGGTGAGTAATGATTTCCTCCATCCGTTGTTTATATGTGGGGCATATAGATGTCGCCGCCACAATAGTATGAACCACCAACATTGTCAAATGTGTGCTGATTTTAAGTTCTCGTTACGTCCATTGTAGCGCTGCGGTTCAAGTTTCCATACAAAATTTGACAATGACATTTCGGACTCACAAACGATACAAATTCGATATTAGTTCATGCTAGGGGTACTGAGCTTTCTAGAGAGTAATCTATTTCAACAGGTATTTTCCTTTTTCTTTATCTACAAGTTTGGTTCCGCTTAGCTCTTAACGTGGCCTGCATTTTACTACTTCTGTGGTGATATGGTTGGATCAGAGAGTGGCACAGTCGGACAGGCGGCGCAGCAGGCTGCAGCAAGGCATCTCCACCAGCAGCGACAACGCCAGTGCGGCCAGCACCGTCAGCACACTAGTACCCGCGAAGTAAGACCACTGGGAAACGAACAATCAGCTTAGATGTTTATAGATAGAGGAGCTCGATGGCGCAAGTGGTTAGCGCGTTCGGCTACGATCGATGAAGTTAAGCAACTTTCGCAGTGGTCGGTCATTGGATGGGTGACCAAAAAATTTACTATCTCGAGCTCCTCCGTGCTTCGGAAGGCACGTTAAGCCGTTGGTCCCGGCTGCATCGGCAGTCGTTAGCACCCGCCAATCCGCACTGGGCCCGCGTGGTGGTTCATGGCCTAATCTCCCTATTCCATCCATAGGGAAGGCCTATGCTCCAGCAGTGGGGACATTAATAGGCTGATGATGATGATTTATAGATATGTACGAAGTCCATGTGTCACTGTGGAAGTCAATAAGTTGGGGCCTGGGGCCATTACGAGCACAAAATTGATTGGAATAGATATAGATATATAACAGTGCCCAGGCTTACATATAGTTATAATTGTACCTGATTTTATAAATAATTTGAGTCTAGGCACAAAGACAGTTGAAGTGGCAGAATAGTGTATCGCTCCAGATATCCTTAAAACACTGGCCTGCACAGCTATTCTGTGAAAATTTGACAGAAAAGCAATGCTGAATCCAGTTTAATTCCCAAGACCTCCTCGTCTTTGACCTCTTACAAGTAATGTGTGGTATTTCAATTAGCCAACAGCTAACTCACCTCGGAACTTTTCGTCTATTTTCTTCGAGAAGGGCAACTAAGGTTAATTGTCCACCTGATGTACATGTAGTAAACTTTCAATACACTGTTGAATAATATAGTAAAGAGTAATAGACGCCGAGCAGCATGCCGTAACACAGCTGGCTCAGCACCGCCCTCGCCCGCAATCCACCCTATACACTGATAACATTTTACGCCGCGATGTGGCATCATTAAGCGCATTCTACCGACTATACCACGACGAGTGTTTTGAGGAGTTATTCTCGCTTATCCCTCCAAGACCTTTTCTTCAGAGGACCACGCGCGCTGGCCTACGTTGCCACCGACTTATTGTGGCCACTATTCCTACACGAACAAAGAAATTTTGGTGACTCATTTCTTTGTCGTACTATTCGTAAGTGGAATTCTTTGCCCGCGCACGTGTTCCCTCCTTCCTACAATCTGGGGTCTATGCGTGAAGAAGCATTTTTGCAGGCCGGCAAGGTGAGGATGGTTGGTGTGACAGTTTATAACTGCTATCTGCGCGTTTGGACTTTATCACCACTTAACATCAGGTGGGGTAGGGTCATTTGCTTACCTGGCTTTATAAAATAAAAAACGTGACGTATATACTGACAAGGCAGGCGGCGTGCGAGCACAGCGCCGTGTCCGCGCCGAGCAGCATACCGTAACACAACCAACACAGCGCCGCCCCCCGCCCGTACTCCATCCTATACACTGATAACATGACGTATATACTGACGAGGCAGGCGGCGTGCGAGCACAGCGCCGTGTCCGCGCCGAGCAGCATACCGTAACACAACCAACACAGCGCCGCCCCCCGCCCGTACTCCATCCTATACACTGATAACATGACGTATATACTGACAAGGCAGGCGGCGTGCGAGCACAGCGCCGTGTCCGCGCCGAGCAGCATACCGTAACACAACCAACACAGCGCCGCCCCCCGCCCGTACTCCATCCTATACACTGATAACATGACGTATATACTGACGAGGCAGGCGGCGTGCGAGCACAGCGCCGTGTCCGCGCCGAGCAGCATACCGTAACACAGCCAACTCAGCGCCGCCTCGCGCCCGTACTCCATCCTATACACTGATAACATGACGTATATACTGACGAGGCAGGCGGCGTGCGAGCACAGCGCTGTGTCCGCGCCGAGCAGCATGCCGTAACACAGCCAACTCAGCGCCGCCTCGCACCCATACTCCATCCTATACACTAATAACATGACGTATATACTGACGAGGCAGGCGGCGTGCGAGCACAGCGCTGTGTCCGCGCCGAGCAGCATGCCGTAACACAGCCAACTCAGCGCCGCCTCGCGCCCATACTCCATCCTATACACTAATAACATGACGTATATACTGACGAGGCAGGCGGCGTGCGAGCACAGCGCTGTGTCCGCGCCGAGCAGCATGCCGTAACACAGCCAACTCAGCGCCGCCTCGCGCCCGTACTCCATCCTATACACTAATAACATGACGTATATACTGACGAGGCAGGCGGCGTGCGAGCACAGCGCTGTGTCCGCGCCGAGCAGCATGCCGTAACACAGCCAACTCAGCGCCGCCTCGCGCCCATACTCCATCCTATACACTAATAACATGACGTATATACTGACGAGGCAGGCGGCGTGCGAGCACAGCGCTGTGTCCGCGCCGAGCAGCATGCCGTAACACAGCCAACTCAGCGCCGCCTCGCGCCCGTACTCCATCCTATACACTAATAACATGACGTATATACTGACGAGGCAGGCGGCGTGCGAGCACAGCGCCGTGTCCGCGCCGAGCAGCAGCGCGCCGGCCGCCGCCGCGTGCAGCAGCAGCATACCGTAACACAGCCGGCTCAGCGCCGCCACCCAACCGCACTCCACCACCAAACGTAGTTTAGCTACAATACAAGCACCAATACAACATCAACCTTGCAACAGTCAAGTATTGCACCACATTTCTTAAAGAGAGAAATTGTATAATCTTGGAGGAGCCTAATCCTAAACGATTGGCAAAGATAAAATATTGTAGACAGGATTAAAAATATATAAAATGAAACGTCGAAAAGCATGTATGCGCATCACTTCTGAACGACTGAACTAAATTGGATAATAAAATTCTATTTTTATTGTATTCGTTAAAGGACAAGTTTTGTAGAAAAAAAACAATAAAACAGAATTATTATTAATATCACTGGCTATCTTAAAAAATACACCCGAAATTAATTTTTAAATCTCATAAGGCTGACTGTCAAAATTTACGATATAGTGTCAAATATAACGTGTGTTTTGGTTTGTGTTGAGATTTTTCGTCGTATTTTTCTATTAGAAAACGCCACCAGTGAGGCGTCAAAATATCGTGTATTCCATTCCATAGTGTAGTGTATTACAAATAACATAATTTGGTGCAAATATAATTGAAAAACGTGGTTTTAATAATAAACTTTTAAAATATTTTTAATTTAAGTCCAATCATACACATTTGTTGCAACTTTAACCTAAAGAATATTCTGTTGAGCCCAGTTGAGCCTCATACATAAATTTTATTCTATACAAAGATTTTTTTATTAAGTACGTAACGTAAGATTTCCGGTACTTTTAAGTCGGTACGATGTACGCCGAGCAAGCTAGTTTGATTAAATTGAAAATACTGATGCTAATTATTATTGCAAATAAATACTCACGAGCTAAGTTAGTAGCGCAGACCAAGACAGGCCAAAAAAATGCCAGGGGCCAAGTGACGTGCAACCACGCCGTCAACCATTCAGTCGTCAACGCCAGGACTAGTAACGACCCAACGAATATTGCTAACGATGCAAACCACAAGCACAAAGCTGTCGTCTGGAAAATACGAATTTAACAAGGCCTTTGATAAAGTTAACAGAAACAAAAAGTATTTTAAATAACTGTTAACTTTATACATAATTTACCAATACATAATTTGTTTATAATTAAGATCAATGGGAATCAGTCATGTATTTTGTGAGGTATGCAGAATTATAAGAAGTGTATGGAGGTTTTACAAGGAGCATGACTTAGTCCCCACAGTTATATCAATACTTAATAAACTTTATAGCATACATGAATTACCCTTACCTTGGTAACACTTATTCTTCCATTTGACTTGTGCACCGTCCACCCTGTAAGCACTCCGATGAAGTATGGAACTGCTCTGGCCCAGGTTCTTTCGATTATTAACGAATAGGCTTCGTAGACTCCAGAGAATCTAAATATAAAAATATTGCACTTTTTTGAATTAGGACCTAATTATGAAAGGTTGACTTCCTTTTATATATACATAGGTACGAGATCAGCTTAAAGCACATGGAAACTTACTCTAATGTGTGGAGAGACTTCTACAATTAACTTCTGGATTCTTTAGGTTTGTTTCTTTACTTTCTTATTTATCTAACAGCCAAGAAAGAATTTAGTGAAATTGTATCAAGGTGATAATTAATTCAGGAATATTAGTTTCACTCACTGGACCTGGAAGTAGTAGTACGCACCACCTACGTCACCAGCGCGGGCCCTCTGCTAGTATGTGCCACACGCATGTTCTCGCCATTCACCGCATCTGGTAGTCGAAGTACGCGCCGCCTACGTCACCAGCGCGGGCTCTATGCTAGTCTGTGTCACACGCATGTTCCCGCCACTCACCGCGTCTGGTAGTCGTAGCACGCGCCGCCTACGTCACCAGCGCGGGCCCTATGCTAGTCTGTGTCACACGCATGTTCCCGCCACTCACCGCGTCTGGTAGTCGTAGTACGCGCCGCCTACGTCACCAGCGCGGGCTCTATGCTAGTCTGTGTCACACGCATGTTCCCGCCACTCACCGCGTCTGGTAGTCGTAGTACGCGCCGCCTACGTCACCAGCGCGGGCCCTATGCTAGTCTGTGTCACGCGCATGTTCCCGCCACTCACCGCGTCTGGTAGTCGTAGTACGCGCCGCCTACGTCACCAGCGCGGGCCCTATGCTAGTCTGTGTCACACGCATGTTCCCGCCACTCACCGCGTCTGGTAGTCGTAGTACGGGACCCCTACGTCACCAGCGCGGGCCCTATGCTAGTCTGTGTCACACGCATGTTCCCGCCACTCACCGCGTCTGGTAGTCGTAGTACGACACACCGACGTCTCTAGCGCGAGCTCTATGCTAGTCTGTGTCACGCGCATGTTCCCGCCACTCACCGCGTCTGGTAGTCGTAGTACGCGCCGCCTACGTCACCAGCGCGGGCCCTATGCTAGTCTGTGTCACACGCATGTTCCCGCCACTCACCGCGTCTGGTAGTCGTAGTACGGGACACCGACGTCTCTAGCGCGAGCCCTATGCTAGTCTGTGTCATACGCATGTTCCCGCCACTCACCGCGTCTGGTAGTCGTAGTACGACACACCGACGTCTCTAGCGCGAGCTCTATGCTAGTCTGTGTCACACGCATGTTCCCGCCACTCACCGCGTCTGGTAGTCGTAGTACGCGCCGCCTACGTCACCAGCGCGGGCCCTATGCTAGTCTGTGTCACACGCATGTTCCCGCCACTCACCGCGTCTGGTAGTCGTAGTACGGGACACCGACGTCACCAGCGCGGGCCCTATGCTAGTCTGTGTCACACGCATGTTCCCGCCACTCACCGCGTCTGGTAGTCGTAGTACGCGCCGCCTACGTCACCAGCGCGGGCCCTATGCTAGTCTGTGTCACACGCATGTTCCCGCCACTCACCGCGTCTGGTAGTCGTAGTACGGGACACCGACGTCACCAGCGCGGGCCCTATGCTAGTCTGTGTCACACGCATGTTCCCGCCACTCACCGCGTCTGGTAGTCGTAGTACGGGACACCGACGTCTCTAGCGCGAGCCCTATGCTAGTCTGTGTCACACGCATGTTCCCGCCACTCACCGCGTCTGGTAGTCGTAGTACGACACACCGACGTCTCTAGCGCGAGCTCTATGCTAGTCTGTGTCACGCGCATGTTCCCGCCACTCACCGCGTCTGGTAGTCGTAGTACGCGCCGCCTACGTCACCAGCGCGGGCCCTATGCTAGTCTGTGTCACACGCATGTTCCCGCCACTCACCGCGTCTGGTAGTCGTAGTACGCGCCGCCTACGTCACCAGCGCGGGCCCTATGCTAGTCTGTGTCACGCGCATGTTCCCGCCACTCACCGCGTCTGGTAGTCGTAGTACGCGCCGCCTACGTCACCAGCGCGGGCCCTATGCTAGTCTGTGTCACACGCATGTTCCCGCCACTCACCGCGTCTGGTAGTCGTAGTACGCGCCGCCTACGTCACCAGCGCGGGCCCTATGCTAGTCTGTGTCACACGCATGTTCCCGCCACTCACCGCGTCTGGTAGTCGTAGTACGCGCCGCCTACGTCACCAGCGCGGGCCCTATGCTAGTCTGTGTCACACGCATGTTCCCGCCACTCACCGCGTCTGGTAGTCGTAGTACGCGCCGCCTACGTCACCAGCGCGGGCCCTATGCTAGTCTGTGTCACACGCATGTTCCCGCCACTCACCGCGTCTGGTAGTCGTAGTACGCGCCGCCTACGTCACCAGCGCGGGCCCTATGCTAGTCTGTGTCACACGCATGTTCCCGCCACTCACCGCGTCTGGTAGTCGTAGTACGCGCCGCCTACGTCACCAGCGCGGGCCCTATGCTAGTCTGTGTCACACGCATGTTCCCGCCACTCACCGCGTCTGGTAGTCGTAGTACGCGCCGCCTACGTCAGCGGCGGCGGCGGCCAGCACCGCGCCCGCCACCAGCGTCACCAGCACCCGCCCGCGTCCTCTCCCCGCGCCCCGCACCACACAGGCCAGCGCTCCAGCTAAATGCAGCTGGCTCTCCGCTGACAGGTACCACGATATCTGCATACACTGCACACAATCGCTTCATGAGTCAAACTAATTCCACTAAAAGGCCTTTCCTGTATGATGAATGATGGATTAGGGAGAATGGGCTATGACCAACGACGTGGATCCAGCCTTGATTTGTGGGTGCTGACGACGAAATCAACGGCTTAACGTGCCTTCCGAAGCATTAGATACTTAATACATCATTTTTCACATAAAAATTGCTTTTAAATTTAAAGAAATCACTTGATAAGACTTTAACAAAGGAGTTTTGTTTCGAAGAGCAAGCAACATTGACAAATTGCGTGGCTGTAACTAAATTTGAAAATCAAAACCATTCGACAGACCCTCTCATTGCTCGGGTAGATGTTAGTGAGGTACAGCAGGTTGCGCCACCAGTAGCTGTCGCAGGTGTGGCTGTCATCGTCGGGTAACACCACCGCTGAAGTGTCGCGGGTCGCGCGCGCCACCACTCCCGCCAATAGCACCGCGAACGCATACGATGGGAGTAACCTAGAAGAGTAAATCATCATTATCAGCCCATCTTAGTCCACTGCTGGACATAGGCCTCTCCAAATGCACGCCACTCAGATCTACAATAGAAGAATACATACGGACTTGAATTCTTGGTTTAAACCTAATATAGTCTTTGTCGCCTAATTATCAGAAAAAAGACAGTATCAGTTTTAACTTTAGTCTAAATTTTGTAATAATGCAGTACCGCCTATGTTTATCTTTGAAGAAGATGCTGTTCGGGTTGGAAATAATCTTCTATATGTATATATAAAACTCAAAGGTAACTGACTGACTGACATAGTGATCTATCAACGCACAGCCCAAACCACTAGACGGATCGGGCTGAAATTTGGCATGCAGGTAGATATTATGACGTAGGCATCCGCTAAGAAAGGATTTTGATCAATTCTACCCCCAAGGGGATAAAATAGGGAATGAAAGATTGTATGAAACTTTATCAATTTTAAACCGATCTGGCTGAGACTTTGCATGCAGGTATAAGAAGAATCATAGATGAATGTCATTGTGTTTAATACAAGCCTGAGAACAAAAACTGTAGTCTACACTTCAGCTCTACACCGAAGCGAAGCGAGGCCGGGCCGCTAGTAAATGATAAAGTGATAAATAGTATAAAACTGTATATGTATTTAGAAAAATGACTATAAAATAATAATTGCTATGAGTACGCGCGACTTGATCAAATTAATTTTATAAGTAAATGTGCTGATGTGACGTTGAACGCGCTTGCTCGTACAGATGCAAAACATGAAATATATCTACAACACGCATTTGTGACCAAAACTAGTATTTCTTTGTTTAATGTATTTAATCAATAAAATCTATTGCTCAATGAGAATCACAACATTCATAACACAGACAGTTTTAATCTCTTCAAAATATAATTAAAACAAGAGGTATATCCCACTTCTTACAGTATCCAAATGGTATCATTGTTTATGATAACGTTTTTGCATTCGGAACCCCACAATCCAACTCAAGGAGTTGAGATCGGACCAGCGGTATTTACACGGAACTTAAATTCGCATAGCTTAGATTTTAGGCTTTATATGAGTCGATCTAGTTTCATATCTTGTTTGCTTAAAAAACTGAGTAACATCAGATAGCCGGAGATATATCAGAATGTATAGGTACCACCTACCTTATAATCCTGTTGGTAACGAAGCAAATAAATTGCAATATCTGACCACAAGCGCCTCCAAAACTGACCAACTCTTCTACTGTATATTGGCTCTTAAGATAGAAAAAATGGTGCGTACTGAAGAGGCCGCTGCAAAGAAACAAATTAATGATGACGATTATTCTCTCACTTTTAACCATATGAGCATAGGGATTGGCACATACCTGACAAAAAATAACGTGTCAAAAGCCAGTGTTCCGGTGGCTAATACGTAATATGCATGATTATGATCGTTTATATCCCCAGCGTCCCCTGTAAGTATGCAATTAATTTCTGTTGTAAATGAGGAACATTATGATTACGCTTAAAATTATTAATAGCTATGTTTTTATTTATTTTTAAGCATTTAACTGCTAGATGTTTAAATCTAAAGAAAAGTTTACTAGAAAAATATCCACGCGGACCAGGCAGCGGACGGGACTCGAACCCGCACCCTTCGCAATCCGGGCGAATGCACTGACCATTATGCTACCACGGCCCTACTCGCCGCGTCGAAATTTTTCTAGCCTCAAGCTGCAAGGCAGCGCCATCTCTTCGCACTGTAGGTAGCCCACAATGTCAAATGAATACTTTTTCAAATATCAAACATTTGAAAGAAGAAATAGCAATTATAGTTATGTTTTTTATAGTTATTAATAGCTTCTAGATATTATTGTGAAATGTGACAATCGTTTTCAACTGACCTGCAGCGTAAGTCACCATAACAGCTACATGCACATAAATAACCCAAAAAGTAGCAACGATCCTCAGTATGTGCACGATCGACAGATCCTTATTAGCCATGTTCGTGTTGAATATCCTTCTCCAACTGTAAGCTAATGAGTAACACAGTAGCAGTCTTTTGAAGAAGCTGTTATTTATCTCATGAATGCCAATGCTTTCCACAGAGCTGTACTGGACTCTTGGGCAGGCTGGTAGATTATCGATTTGAGTGGGGTTGCTGCACTGTCGCTTGTACTTCCCGCACCTGTTGCAGCTGCCACTAGCTTTCTCCATGGACATTACGTCAAGCGTAATCGTTGGAGGAATCGTGTTAGGTTTTGACCCATTGTCCGAAACACCCACATCAAAAGTCTCTTCAACTTTGGGAATGACAGCTAGTTTCCCCAAATGTTGATCTTTCCACGTTGACAGATTGTGCTTCCTCGGTGTACTATCAAAGTATCTGTTGTGTGTACCGGTGCTGTTATATTTCTGTAAATCGAAACTCACCGATCTCGAAGTACGTGGCTTGAGTTTGCATTCGACTAGATTAAGTTCCACTATCGTCGCAATAATCGAAAGTATAAATAGGAAAAGTATTAAACATATGAGTATTATAGCACCGGTGTCTGTTTCTATGTGATAATATTCTTCTATTTTCCTCATTGATGTGACCTTGGCCATTCTAGGGATAGTCTTGTTAGACTTCAAGTTGTCATTGATCATTATGGAAAATGTGAGTATGGATTCGGCGTCGTCGACGCTGCATGACCGAGGTAAGCATAAGCCCAATGTTATGTCGTAGGACTGTAAAGAAAAAACAAGAAATATTTTAATCGTGTCAAGTAAAAGTTGACTGTGCATATCATTGTTTACTGAAATACTTTGTGCAATGCGAGAAGAAGACATGTTTTCAATTTTTGATGTCAACTTTCAATGGACGACTCTGTATGAATCAAAACAGGGAGAAAAAAAATAGCCCTTGCTGAGTTTCTTGCCGGTTATTCTCAGTACAAGGTCTCCCGCCGTAGATTTACGAACCAATGGCGCAGACTTTCACAAGAGCTGGTAACAGCCTAGACTGAATAAATGAGTTTGACATAAAAGAGTTTCGCTCAGAAAATCATAACAAGGGGGAGTTACTGAGGGATATTGTCGTTGCATAAAAGAATCAATTACGTCACTGTGGCAACTACTAACCTTAGCTTACATCTTGGTGGCCCTAAGCGCAAGCTTGCTTACGATAGCCATACACACTACAAGAAATCGTTACGATTAGACTGTACAGTCCGAACGGTACCAATAAATCGTAGCGTGCATGTTATAAAACTGCACAGTTTTCTATACGTACGCCACGTACGATAAACTGTTCCGTTCGAACTGTACAGTCTGATTGTAACGATTTCTCGTAGTGTGTATGGCTACCATTATTGTCGGCGCCTACGGTTAGCCAGATCAAATCTTCACTTTCCGCCACCTGCGGAACTACTAACCTTGGCCATAGTGATCTTGGTGACGTTTAACGCAAGCCTGGCGGCGAGGTAAGCGAGGCGGTAGGGCGGCCGGTTGTCCGCGCCCACCACTCGCTGGATTAACTCGTCGCGTTGAGTCAACTGCTGCCACTCTTGCCCACCTGAGGAGATATTTCTCTCTTATACCACTGACTCGAGCAAATGTCCTTTCTATAACTCAAGGTTGTTTTAAAAGAGGCGCTTTCGTTATTAAAGTGGATAAACCCAATTTAAATTGGTGTTCCAGCCAATCGACCAGGGATGAGCATATTATACGAGAAAATCAGCAAATTACCTCAACCAGATAGGTTGCCTTTCAGTTAATGTAAAGTTTATAAATTTGAACTCGAGAAACAGCGCTGTACCTACAAAAATGTAACGTTTTGTTAGATTGCTTAATATACAGGGTATATACAGGGTGGTCCAACTAGTGACGTCAACAAATTTTTTTTAGATTCCTCGCAAATCATTAAAAATACATAAAAAAAATATAGCTCGAAAACTAAGAAAAATCACGGAACATACTTGGGGTATTTTCGGATACCCCCAGGTGCGAGGAATCTATCTAATCTATTGTATCAAAAAACAGGTAATTTCCCAACTAGCCATTTTGATCTTTATTCTTGCTCACATTTTAAATCTTAGTGGTGAAACCGAAATTATTATAAAATTCAACATGCTAAAGTTATTTTACAGAAATTTCAATTAAATTTAATTTATAATTACATTTTTATGTTTAATTTACCATAACAATGAAAAGAAGTACATAAAATAATGTCTAATTCTTTAATCGTGTTTTACTGATTTTAAGCCTATCCGCCTTTAAAAGCCAATTACAACAATAATAGGCTGATTAAATACTTTTTTTTATGATTTTTGATAGTTTAGAAGCATGCGGAGTTTTTAATTTTAACCAGAAGCTATGGAAACTCCTTTTTGTATTGAAGTTGAACGTTTGAAAATAAATCCTACTAAAAACTAAAGATCCAACTTTCAAGCCTTTTTTGAGTAACTTTAAGTAATTGCAGAAAATTGAGTTATTTTTTTATTAAAACAACATTCAAGACAATTATGTCACAAAAAAAAGACTGCAAAATACCTACTACGAAAAAAGATAAGAATTTTTGAAACCTCGCTGGCAGAAATCATTAAAAATACACAAAAAACAAATTATAACTCGATAATTATATATTTTCGGATACCCCTAGGTGCGAGGAATCTAAAAAAAATTTGTTGACGTCACTAGTTGGATCACCCTGTATATGATAAATTGACTTACCAGATTTAAGAACGAGAGACAACCCAAAAATAAAACTTGACACTGCCAAAGGAGTTGCTAAACTAAGATATACCGATCGCTATCGATCTTAACACATAATTGTCTTACGTCTAATAAATAGGACAAACAGACAGATATGCCCTGAAAAAATACTCACGGATGCCATAATACTTCTCTTGTTGAAGCACTTCCTGCAGTGCGTCACCTCCGTAGTAGTCGTGCAGGCTGCTGTTGGTGTCACGCGTCAGGAAATCTTTATCCTGAAATTCAATTAAAATTTCATATTATTAACATTCTTACAGGGACAGCCTTTATGGGGCCCCGGGCGGTAGATCTTTGCAAGGCCCTTGTCTTTTAACGAAACTGCGTAAATTGAAATATACATAATCATCATTTATCATCATCATCATCAGCCTATTAATGTCCCCACTGCTGGGGCACAGACCTTCCCTATGGATGGAATAGGGAGATTGGGCCATGACCCACCACGCAGGCCCAGTGCGGATTGGTGAGTGCTAACGACTGCAGATGCAGCCGGGATCAACGGCTTAACGTGCCTTCCGAAGCACGGAGGAGCTCGAGATAGTAAATTTTTGGTCACCCATCCAATGACCGACCACTGCGAAAGTTGCTTAACTTCAACTATCGTAGCCGAACGCGCTAACCCCTTGCGCCATCGAGCTCCTCAATAAGCAGTAAGTATAATGCAGGGCTGTAACTAGGGGTGGGCATTATGGGGCAGTGCCCTTTCTTAAAACGGTCCGGCTGTCTGCGAAAGGCGGCACGCCGCCACTGCTTTTGCCCTACCTCTAACGACCGCTGCCCTATCTTTAACACATCTCTGACACTACGACACTAAGGCCCGTATTATAGAAAGATTCTCAGTGATTGATCTAGTCTTGAGCATAGTTAGAGAGGGATGTCGCTATATAAAGCACATAGCGCCATCCCTTTCTAACTGTACTCAAGTAAAGATCAACACTTAGTTGTCATTCCGTAATACGAGCCTAAGAATATAATATTCTAACAAAACGAAGAACACCACGCATGTGCGAGAAGCGTTACATTATTAAATCTTGCAGCATGATACGGATTGTACCATGGACATAGGATTTTGCACCCATTCGACCTCCCTGGCTGCATCTCGACGCGGCCTCGGATTCTGATGGGGCTACTCTACCAACTATCGAATCCTCTACATCACAATTATGTTATATTCATCAACTTAAAATGTAATAAATAAATAAGTGTTTTAAAAAAAAATAGACTGTAATACAAAACCTTTTTATCTTTATATATATAATTCTTCTGTGAGTGTGTATGTCACTGAACTTCTCTTAAACGACTGGACCGATTTTGATGAAATTTTTTGTGTGTGTTCAAGGGGATCTGAGAATGGTTTAGATTCACAAAGACGTGTAGACAGGACAACGTCTGTCGGGTCCGCTAGTCTTTATATATATAATTCTTCTGTGAGTGTGTCTCAGATCCCCGAGAATGTTTTAGATTCACAATTTTGTCCGCTGGACAACCCCTATTTTTTTAGGGCGGTACGAAGTTCGCTGGGTCAGCTAGTTTATACATAAAATGTTAAAAAAAAATATATCCATCGTGTTTTTTGGATTCTTTTATTCGCACTAGAACTAAACTAAGTTAAGTTGTTGTGTGAAAACTCGAGACCTCTACAAAAGCGACCGTCACTTACCAGATGGTGGCACTGTTGCTTGGAGCCCAACCAGTAGCGGCTGCCGGAGAACAAGCCGGCCTGGTACCGCCCTGATGCGTCTATCACTGCAACCAAATTAGTACTTTACTAACAGTTGCCAATGAAATCTGACATATTAAAAGCTTTAATTAAATAAAGGTGTCAATTCTGACATGCTTCTCTTGTGGCGGCGACATGTACACGCCCCACATATAACTAACATAGAGGAAACAATCTTACGCCTCCTCAAGAGATGGCACTACTGGCGCTGCGTTCACAACGTAAGGAAGCCTACATCGCGCAAGTAAAATTCGGTAGCTAACAGTTCATATATACGATGCCCGACCAACATCAGTCGGGCCGCGGCCCCCGAGCTACCATCACCCAGCTCGGAGGAAGATCTTCCCCTTTGGCCTTCCTACACTCTAAACTTGAATTTGACAACAGTTTATCCTTGTCATTCTCTATACTGAATGAAGAGGAGAGACTGATCTTCAATTAAGTTTTAAGTTTAGAGAGTCATGTCAGTATCGTATATTTAATTATTTTGGATATTGGAGAATGGCAACCTATTTCATCATCATCATCAGCCTATTAATGCCCCCGCTGCTGGGGCACCCTTCCCTATCGGAGATTGGGCCATGACCCACCACGCGGGCCCACTGCGGATTGGCAAGTGCTAAAGACTGCAGATGCAGCCGGGATCAACAGCTTAACATGCCTTTCGAAGCACGGAAGAACTCGAGATAGAAGATTTTTGGTCACCCAACCGCTGTCCGACCACTGTGAAAGTTGCTTAATTTCAACGATCGCAGCCGAACGCGCTAACCACGCGCGCCATCGAGCTCCTCCGAGAGTTTACCTATTTACAAAATACAAAGAGGACGGATAAACTTACCCGAAGTAAAGACGTTGTAAGAAATATTTGGTTTTGTTTCTCATTTATTGATATATAGAGGACTTCTAATAAGTTCATTCGGTTATTAACATAACTGCTATATACCGTAAACTACTCTTGGGAGAAAGATTTCACAGTGTGAATCAGATAAAGTGATTTGCCAAGCCTATTACAACTGTTACATAATCTTTTTACATAAAAACCTTAAAGCTAGTTATGCTGTACGGTTCAACGATTCATTGAAACAAGAAAAGATTGCATGTGCTCTGACGACCAATAATGACAAGTTTCGTAAAGTTTCCTAGAATATGTCAATGACTGTTCAATCGTCCAGGCGGCGTCAACCGCATGCGTGGCGAATCGAGCTCATTAATATTATCGTCTAATTTTCATTTCACTGCATTGCTTTTTCATTAAGAACCATATCGTGCGTGACTAACATTTATAATACATGATCAGTTCGACAACAAATTAAGAATGTGAATTCTCTGTATGAAATAAAGATGCTCCAGTGTTT